ACAATCTGCTCAGTTACTTGGATTTTCACTCACAAGCATTTCTAGGGTTTACAAAGAATGGTGTGAAAAGGGAAAAACATCCAGTATGCGGAAGTCCTGTGGGCGAAAATGCCTTGTTGATGCTAGAGGTCAGAGGAGAATGGGCCGACTGATTCAAGCTGATAGAAGAGCAACTTTGACTGAAATAACCACTCGTTACAACCGAGGTATGCAGCAAAGCATTTGTGAAGCCACAACACGCACAACCTTGAGGCGGATGGGCTACAACAGCAGAAGACCCCACCGGGTACCACTCATCTCCACTACAAATAGGAAAAAGAGGCTACAATTTGCAAGAGCTCACCAAAATTGGACAGTTGACTAGAAAAATGTTGCCTGGTCTGATGAGTCTCGATTTCTGTTGAGACATTCAGATGGTAGAGTCAGAATTTGGCGTAAACAGAATGAGAACATGGATCCATCATGCCTTGTTACCACTGTGCAGGCTGGTGGTGGTGGTGTAATGGTGTGGGGGATGTTTTCTTGGCACACTTTAGGCCCCTTAGTGCCAATTGGGCATCGTTTAAATGCCACGGCCTACCTGAGCATTGTTTCTGACCATGTCCATCCCTTTATGACCACCATGTACCCATCCTCTGATGGCTACTTACAGCAGGATAATGCACCATGTCACAAAGCTCGAATCATTTCAAATTGGTTTCTTGAACATGACAATGAGTTCACTGTACTAAAATGGCCCCCACAGTCACCAGATCTCAACCCAATAGAGCATCTTTGGGATGTGGTGGAACGGGAACTTCGTGCCCTGGATGTGAATCCCACAAATCTCCATCAACTGCAAGATGCTATCCTATCAATATGGGCCAACATTTCTAAAGAATGCTTTCAGCACCTTGTTGAATCAATGCCACGTAGAATTAAGGCAGTTCTGAAGGCGAAAGGGGGTCAAACAGAGTATTAGTATGGTGTTCCTAATAATCCTTTAGGTGAGTGTATATGTACATATACACAGACACATACACAACATAAATGTAATAATATTTATACACAAGGATATTATTAAAACTTCTATGTTAGATGTGATTAATCGATTTGTCAGCACTAATAAAAACATTAAAGGCACAGTACCAACAACAGCTTGTTTGACTCTGAAAAGTGTCAGAAAAAGGAAGGAAATTATCATGTAAAACTTACAACCCATTTAACTTTCGGTTAGTTGCACTACGGTTCAGAAGTTTGGGGTTGGTAAGTGTGTTTTTGAAAGAAGTCTCTTATGCTCACCAAGGCTGCATTTATTTGACCAAAAATACAGTGAAAATTAATACAATTTAAAATGCTGTTTTCTATTTGATTTGATTTTAAAATGTCATTTATTCCTGTGATGGCAAAGCTGAATTTTCAGCATCATTACTCCAGTGTTCAGTAACATGACAAATGTCTTAACCGTCACTTTTGATCAATTTAATGCATATTTTCTGAATAAAAGTATTAGTTTCTTTTTAAAATCTTACTGACCCCAAACATTTGAATGGTAGTATACATATTTCCAGTGAAATGGTAAATTCAAATAAGGAAAAGGCAAGGGCGTGACAGGACTGGACTGGATCATCATAGTGTGTCATCAGGCAAATCATTCCTGAGGTATAGAGATACTCCGTGTTCCCAAATTATGCAAATATAGAAAACATTCAGTTTTTACATTTGCATAATAAGACAGGGAAACTGTATTTAGAATGTAGATAGTGTCCATTTTGATTTGATGGGGACTGGGACAGCAGATGAAAGAGTACAATGTGGGAAACATTTTGAGGAATACCGGATGAACAGAAGAGGAAGCTTGTTAGAATAAGACAGAAAAGAGTAGCGACAGGTCATCTGTTCACTTCTGTGCACATCTGTCTGCTTAACTTCCTCATTCACAGCTGGGTTTCAGTTGCACACATCCATCCTGAAATGTGTGTCGCAGGGTAACACTATCATTGAACATTTGCTCACTATAGCTGGCATTAATCGTAATCTTTATAGAATGTCACACATTTATAGACAGTGAGCTCTTTGTCTCCATATAAACATGATTCAAGATTAGATGTTTCAATGAGTCCGTATGTAACGAATGAGCAGCGATTTATCAATCGAGGACTCTGTACTGCTGTTTAGTGGAGGCAGGGTGTAAACAGTCGGTGAGCAATGTGTTGACCAATTCCATTACTAGCATGCGTCATAGCTGAGAGTTTCTCGTCAAACTTTGTGTATCTTGCATCTTATTTTCATTACTCTCAATTTTTTGTCACATTTAATTCTCATCCCTCTCTCCTCCTGTACTGGTTCTCCTCTCTGTCGCTGTTCTCAGACTTGACCAGCAGACCCCGTAGTCCTCCTCAGCCGCCTCCTCCCCCTCTGCCTCCCGGACGCCCTCCGCCCCCGACCCCGCCGCAGGAACGAGGGAGCGAAACAGAGGCCGCCGCCGGAGGAGGAGGAGGAGGCGGAGCGAGCAGCGGGGCAGAAGAGTGCGAAGAACGTGAGCGGGACCCGCCGCTCCTCCAGCTGGAAGGGGTGGAGGGCGAGGAGAGGGAAGGAGGGAGGGCGAGAGCCATCGACAACCAGTACTCCTTCTTCTAAAAGGGGAAAACCACGAGGTGGGATAGAGGAGGAAGAGGAGAGCCCTTCACAATCAGTATTTTCAGTATTCTCCAGCGGAAGAACTGACGAGAGGGTCACAATCACACGACTGAGTTAACACTATTAAACATGAGCTTTCACGTTGCGAGAGAGAGAGAGAGAGAGAGAGAGAGAGAGAGAGAGACACACCCATACACATAAGCATATATGATACTTACTGACGGCACATCTTTAAAACACTAAGTAACGGTACTACACTAAATTGGAGGTGCATTGTGAAAATGTTGGTCAACTTTTACTAATTTGTTCTCCAGTGTTTGTCAGTGTTCCTCCTCTGGTGTTCCTCCTCTGGTGCTGCTGCATAGGAAGGTACGACAGTGTCAGCGCCACCACTGAGCGGTTGTCGTGTTTTTAGCAACTTATTTCTTGAAGAGTCCTTCTAGTCATTACATTCATTCAGATGTCTAGTATTCTTTGACCCTTCGCACTTATACAAAAGAGGTTTTTTTCCCCTCAGGTGAGCGGATATTTTTACTTGTTCAGAGATTGTTACCCACCAGCACTCTTGTTGTTGTTGTTGTTATTATTATTATTATTATTATTATTATTACTGGAACATTTTAGTTGTTTTGTTTTCTTCTTGTTCTGCCACTGACAAACTATGAATGTCGCAAAGTACTTTTCTTCCTTCCTGTTCATTTCAATTGTACTGATTTTGGTAGTTCAGTAGAAGGCATTGCCTTGAGCTTAACAATGTCCAGTTTTGCAACAAAAAAAATTAGATGGTCCTCACTGCGGAACATGAAATCCACGGGGAGGAGTCGGATCCAGATCCGACTCCTCCCACCTTACATACACCTAAACCTACCCAACTCTGCCCCCTGATCCCTAAACCCACCCCTAATCCCTAAACCCAACCCTAATCCTACCCATCTCCACCCCTTGGATCTTGATCCGACTCCTCCCCGTGGATCTCATGTACTGCATTGAGGTGCTACTGAAAAAAATCAAGCCCAGTCCTCTGAAGTCCATAGTATTACTTCTTAAGGTTAATTACAATATTAAACATCTCCATAGACTCCATTATTACCTCAGAGTCCTGATCTTTCACCCAGCTCTTCTCTCTCTCTCTCTCTCTCTCTCTCTCTCTCTCTCTCTCTCTCTCTCTCTCTCTCTCTCTCTCTCTCTCTCTCTCTCTCTCTCTCTCTCTCTCTCTCTCTCTCTCTCTCTCTCTCTCTCTCTCTCTCTCTCTCTCTCTCTCTCTCTCTCTCTCTCTGTTTTTACATCTTACCCTTCCTTTTAGCTTTACAATCTTTTTTTTAATGGTAGCTAGAGTCCAGAGGAGGAAGAGAGAATGTCTTTCATTTAAAGAAAAATTGTTATTGAGTACGAAAATGACAATAATAACTATGATGATGATGATGATGATGATAATAATGAATTTAATAATTGTCCAAATAGTATTATTATTTTTTCACAATGCCTTTATTCTTGTTGTTTACTAAATGAACACACAATATTTGTTCTCCAAAATCTGTCTTCTGTTTCTTTTTCTCTTTTTATTTGCCTTTATATCTCTTCTAATCTCACTCTGTCACACTGCTGTCTCCTTCAAACTTTCCATGGATTTCAGGCAAACATTTGAAAAAAAAGGAAAAGATAAAGAGCCCCTTTCTTCTTGTGCCTTTTCGTGTTGTTAATTGTCATTCCCTCTTGTTTTGTGCCAGTCATTCTTGATGTTGTGCCTCGATCAGTCTTTTTGCAGTGTCTGCCATCCAGTTCAGTGCCTGCATCTGTCTTGGTTTTATTTCTCTTATCCTATCTCTGCTATTTCAGTTGTTCTCTTCTTGGTCCTACAGATCATTCAGTATGATTTGTTCTCTATCCACTTGCCCCTCCCTTTTACCCTTTATTTAAACCTCTTATTGTGCCTTCTCTCTCTTTTCTCTTCTCTCTCTCTCTGTCTGTCTGTGCTGGGACCGTGTGTTAAGGTGGACACTGTTGCCCACTCTGTGTAATTAGAGTTTCAGGTACTACATTGAATTAAATGATGATGATGATGATGATGATGATGATGATATAATATAATTATACTGAAACAATATGTCTGAGTTGTGTTTGTGTAATTATGATAGATAGATAGATAGATAGATAGATAGATAGATAGATAGATAGATAGATAGATAGATAGATAGATAGATAGATAGATAGATAGATAGATAGATAGATAGATAGATAGATAAAATTTGATTTAATTCGTTGTTTCTTCACGAAAGTATAAGCGATTCTTTTACCAAGCATGCTGTACGTGTGGCTGTCTACGTGATACGGGTCTTATGCGCCATTGCGTCATCACGCCATGTTGTCCAATGACAATCAAGGGTTTTAGAAAAAACAGCCTTCGCGTTTATCGCTGGCTAATTCACGCGACGTGGTGCCGGTAATATTTAATAGAAACATAAGCCTCATTATCTCTTCGTGTTCGTTCGTAACCGAATATCGGACTGAACTGGACTTCGGGCCGTAACGGAGATCGCGCTCGTGCGGATCTGAGAACGCTGCGGAAAATAAAAATAATACCGCAGGCAGGCTAGTCCACCTACTAGCTTGTCATAGGCAACAAGGAGAATTTAGCGGGCAACTCAGCGGCTAGATATGTCTTTTCGCCGACAGAACGTAAGTACCACGTATTCAAATTTCAATCAGTTTGTTTGAATTATACAATCTTTAATCGAGATTATTAAAACTCATAAAGCTTTCAGGGTATACTTATTGTCGTCCTTCCTTAAGATTTCACTTTCATGTGTAACGTAACATGCTAGTAAACCTGCTAGGTGTTTTTTTTATATACGTAAATGTGATTAATTCTTCATTTGTGTCGGCATTTAACAATCGCAATGCTTTCTAACAGCAGCCTGGACCCGGTGGCCGCAAAACATCCAATGGAACTTCGGGGTCAATGGCTTCGTCAGTTACAGGGAGTAACTCTAACAGACCCACTCCGGGAAGGTAACGCACACGTTGGGCTGCCACACTCAGAAAGTCCGCGGATTGTCATTTTAACATGAGGCCTACCGGCCAAAGTGGGCGTGTCCATAGAGCATATTTAATGGAGTCCGTTGAGCACCAATCGTTTCGAGCCTTGTTAAATTAGCAGGAGAACTAGCCAATCGCCGCGAAGCATATTTGATTGACACAATTTTGGGCCAATGATTGACAGGATTGTCTAAAACGGTACACATCCGTCCAGAAAGAATATTGCCAACCAATAGAGTTTAGATTTTAATTGATTGCCATGTTTTTCAGCTTATGGCTGCTCTCGGAGGCGGGCCATGGGAAGGGATCAGCGGTGTTTTGTTGTTGTTTTCCGATCCCATATGATTCAGTATTGTGTTAGACTTTCATCTTGAGCCATTTTATATACGCCTTTTAAAGAAGAGCCTGGATGCATGTGACAAAGTACAAACACTCGTAATGTATAATCGGTTTGATTGATTGTGGCGAGGGACACGAAATGTGTACATTTGCGCATGTTAATGTCAAGCTGTTTGTCTTGTCTTCGGCATTTGCTTCTTGTGTTGTTAGCCAGGTCCGCTAACCCGCTTTGCGGTCTGTCGTAATTAAAACACGCGCCTTGTTGCCATTGTTTACACATCCGCTTTGATAAATTATGTTTGCTCGATACGCGCAACCAGATTCAATCCGATTGCTATTTTGTTACTCGTGTATGATTGTCCTTTTGTTTTAGCACGCGCTTCGCGGTGTCGTAATTGTTGTCCGCACATGTAACAGAAGAGCAACTCTTGCAATACCGGGCTGTTTCACGTCCTAAACTTAGTGGAAAGACAGCATATTTGGGCGCGTTCCCGAACATTTGATACAGCTCATGTGTACAGAAAATACTTAATATCCCGATTCGTGTTATTGTCGTGTAAAAAAAAAAAAAAAAAACGTTGAAATCTTTGTTTGTGGTTCAATTGCCATTAATATTCTGTCGATTGTTATTTATATGTATATACTTTATTGGTATTTACTAAATATTTTTTTGGTTCAATAATTCTGTTTGTCAATTGTTGTTTATTTATTAATAATTACTAACGACTGTTTACTCTTTGTTTTGTTTTTGTTTTTTTTCCTCAAGAAACAGAAACTCTGTGAAGATTCCTTCACAGTCACCACCTGTACGTAAATTCTTATGCCTTTTTAAACTAATTTTCCATTTCAAGATTACAAAATATTAATACATATTTTGATGCATTATTTGTAGGTGTTTGAGGGTGTGTACAATAACTCAAGGATGCTCCATTTCCTCACAGCCGTGGTGGTGAGTTTTGGCATGAAATAAATGTATTCGTGGCTGTTGAAAACACCCTTCTTTGATAATTTTTGACTCCAAAGGTCCACCGCAATATAACAATATTGACTTCTCCAGTTGTTCGTAATTTATTGGATACATATTTTTTTTCTCAGTTTCTACCTGATAAAATACTTTATAGCTTGGCATAACTAGAAAATGTATTTTTTTTTTTTTTTTTTTTTTGTATTTGTTATAAACATGCCCATGGAATTGTGCAATTTTATTGATCTACATGATTTTTCTAGGTCTAGAAATCACACATTTAAACTTAAGCTATAGGTTTTTCTGGACAATGGGAACCTTTTTTCTTCAAAGAAAAGTAAAAAAAAAAACAGTTGGTAAGGGGGTGAATTGAAATAATGATGCTTGTTTTGTTTTTTGACATTTTTAAGCTCCCTAGTTTTAAGACTCACTACTCTAATTTGTTTTCAGCATTTAGCAACAATATAAATACTTGACATGCATTATGTAATCTTTCCTTCAGGGCTCCAGATGTGATGTTATGGTGAAGAACGGCAGTGTATATGAGGGGATCTTTAAGACATTAAGCTCACGTGTAAGTCTGTCCCTCCAAATCTACTGGCAGACACATCTGCATTGATCCTGCTTTCTGAATCTTGTGCTTGAAGCTGTTGTTTTTAAAGTGAACCCCGACTAGTGTGGCATGTTGGCCTTATAAGATTAACGTGGGCGTCAGCTATAAAAAGGTGATACAAAAACACTCCAAATGTTTTTGTTTTTATTGAAAAAAGCCGAAAATCCGTTCACTCGTAGGCCGCCATAGTTATTTACGTCTCAATGGATTCTGGGTAGTGACGTGTAAAGGTTGTAGTCGGTTGAGCCTAGCCATTGTAGCCGCTTCGTTTATTGTTTTTCCAACGTACCGGCGTAAAAAGTTTTGACAGTAGCGAGATGAACACGTCTGCCGTTCAGCCTTTTCAGTTTGAACCCAAGCGCACCGTAGGCTTAAATCAAGAGAACAACTCTGTGTCATGTCTCTCTTGATCATGTCTGTACTATGTTATGATTGTACTGTACAATTAAATACAATCGTTGCTTATTAGTCTGCAGTCTGAATTCACTTTACCTTAGAGCGTCCGTTAACTGAATGAATTGAGAATATCACCTGAAAATCCTGTAACATCAGCAATTTTCATTCAACCAGCTGATTTCTCTAAATAAATGTAAAACTAAATGCACAGGGTGAAGTCAGTATATACATTAACAACGATTTGAGACGAATAAATGTAAATTTAATATAAAACTATGTAAATGGTGCTCTGTAGCGCGGCAGGATTTTGAACAAGGTCCGAGAGGGTATTTCTATGCGTTCAACAAAGTGACTGCTTAGGGAAAATAAAGCAAACGACGGCGGTAGATGACTTATTAAATTATTGATACCGATAGTACGATCGTCTGATCTATACAGCCTACCCTGGACAGCTGCTGACAAAAAGTGGAGCTCTTTACAGCAAACACTCTCGTTCTCGCTTGGCATTGGCAAACTGCCGCAGACACCATCTATTTTGCCCCACTCTCGCTTCTTCAACTCTCTGATAATCTTCATTTTCATGTAACTCTTGAGTAGGCCTATCGTTTTCCGTGTTGTTCTCTTGATTTAAGCCTACGGTGCGCTTGGGTTCAAACTGAAAAGGCTGAACGGCAGACGTGTTCATCTCGCTACTGTCAAAACTTGGCTAGCTACAACCTTTACACGTCACTACCCAGAATGCATTGAGACGTAAATAACTATGGCGGCCTACGAGTGAACGGATTTTCGTCTTTTTTAAAATAAAATCAAAAACATTTGAAGTTTTTTTGTATCACCTTTTTATAGCTGACGCCCACGTTAATCTTATAAGGCCAACATGCCACACTAGTTGGTGTACCCTTTAAGTTAATTGATAACCTACATTTTCTAGAATCTCAGGCTTTGTTCTCACTGAACCAAGTTCAAATTTGTTTTTCCAAATTTGATATTTGAGATTAATCTAAATATTTCTTTTTTTGTGGCAAAGGTGTATTTTTCTGAACAACGCCTCCTTAAATTTGACACATTGCTCAAATCCCACTCAATATCTGTGTGTGTTTAGTGTGAGCTGGCAGTGGATGCGGTGCACAAGGTGAAAAATGAGGAAGGAGATGGAGGCGGTGGTGGCGGCACACCTGTCCATCCCAGGAGAGAAGAGATCACAGACACCATGATCTTTGGCCCTAGTGACCTAGTCACTATGATCTGCAGAGATGTGGATCTCAACTACGCTATCCGAGGTGTGTACAAAGAGGTACGCTTGAGTGGCGTTGTAAGAAATAGAAATATTTTTAATGCTTTGTGTGTGCTTGTTTTCAGACACTTTCACAGACTCTGCAATTGGCTCAACAAGAATAAACGGTGACCACAGAGAGAAGGTCCTTCAAAGGTGGGATGGAGGCGATAGCAACGGAGAAAATTTTGACCTAGACGCAGATGCAGTGAGTTCCACCCACATGCTCGTATATACAACCGAACATGATGATAAATTAGTGTATTATTGGAATTAATGTCTTAAAGTGGAGGTTTTACATGATTGAAGCTCCTTTTCTCACTTTCAGTCTAATGGCTGGGATGCCAGCGAGATGTTCCGCTTTAATGAGGAGACCTATGGGGTGAAGTCCACCTATGACTCCAGTCTCGCCATGTACACGTACGTTGATGTCCTGTCAGTTTTAGATGTTTTGTTTTTTCTATGACCTTTAAAGTTGGAAGTGGAAAAGCCTTTTGTCCTTCAAACAGGATTCCCACTCCAGTCTTAAAATAAAGATTTTGTTAATTTTTTTTTTTTTTTTTTAGTTTGGGGATGGAAAAAACAGGAATATGGCCCAATGTGATTTATTAACCTTTAACTGGCAATGATTTAATTAAATAAATGTGAGCGCTGCACGTTTAAAGCCAAAAGCGGCACTGTTTTACATTCTACAGGCTCATGGTTTCAAAGCGTGTACAGTCAATGAATGCCACTCATTTATGCCTAGCAATTGCTTATGATTCCTGTCAAAGTAAACATTGTCACATTGTGCATATTTTATCTCATCTTTTTGAATGAGAGGCTGGTAGTAAAGCATAGGCATTTCAAAATTGGAGTCCCGTTGTACTTTGACCTGGTTTATAATTTATAGTCCTGCATTATGCATTAGGTTTATACTAAACTGTATCTGGCATATATTCAGTGTAGACTCTTGTGGTTTCTCTCTGGATCACCCGTCATAGGCAAGAAAGACCAAGAACGTTATCACATACAGCATATCAATTTTACTAGTACTTTCACTATCAGTTTATTGCCTTTCTTTAAGCACATTATTGTTTTAGCAAAATCCAGTATTGATCGACCTCTGATTTGTTTGATATATTAGTACATAATCCAATTTCAATACATATATACTGATTAAGATATATCTTGAATATATTTGCAGTAGAATGTGTGCCCCAACCTGTTTAATTAAGAAAAATAATTTGATATGGATTTATTTTGAGATTGTATGCTCTTTATGAACATGGATGTAAATTTTGTGCAGGTCTTAAATTAGAGTCCTGTTAGAAGAATGTGATATTTACTTGATTTCTGGTGCCTTTCTCTGATAGGGTTCCTCTAGAGCGGGGCAGTTCTGAGGGCTTCAGGCAGCGAGAAGCTCGAGCCGCCCGATTGGCCAATGAGATTGAAGCTAGTTCACAGTATCGTCACCGGGTAGCGCTGGAGAATGATGATGGACGAACCGAGGAAGACAAATTCAGCGCTGTGGTTCGGGACAGGGACCGTGATGGCGGAGAAAGGGAAAGAGGAAGGGATAGCCCTGGGTTCTCTAGTGCTGGGAGCAGGTTTGACTCAATCTTTTTCTTCTTTTCCCTCACTCTCACTCTTATCTTATGTGGTCCTTCTCCTTAGTATACTGGTGATCATTACTGTCTTTATCTTTATTTTAGGGAGAGCAAGTACATTCCTCTACCCCAGAGGGCAAGGGAGCGAGAAATGGGAGTTTCTGTAAGGGGCGAAAGAGGTGGAGCTGTATCCACCCTGCCTAATCGAACAAATAGACCTGGCCCCCCAAGCTCCTCCCCTCGACCCCTCCCCTCTGGGAGTGGTCAGCCTATTCCTCCCACTGATAGGAGCAGCCCTCTGTCTGTCAGAGGAGGATACTCTACACACCAGTCACAGAGCAGCTCACCTACACAGCCAGGTCACTCTAGCCCTCCTTCCCCACACACACTCCCACATTCACTCTCACACCCACAGTCTCTCTCAGACTCGGCCCGGCCCGTCAATGGAGGTAAGTTTTGTGTGCGTGAGGCCTATTGCTTTCACTGTTTATGATAGTTACCGCCCTCTGTATTACTAATGAACATTGCATTAATCTCTTTTAGTGTCATCTAGAATGTCACCCAAGTCTCAAAGGCCTGGACAGAACAACAGAAACCTGCGTACCTCAAATTCTCACTCCTCCCCTACAGGTCAATATGCATATATACGCACACCCACACACACAGGATTATGATGTTCAGCCGAGCTTTATGGGCTTTTGACATTTAAAACTGTCCGTTATAGAGATAATGAAAATATTTTATATCTATGAAAAAATAAAACTACTATATGATGCATCAATGTTTTTGAAAATGAAACTGATCGTCTCAAATAACCCAGTCAATAATATTGTGCATTGCATTTGAGCTGAAATTGTGAATAAACACCACCCTGCAGCGATTTGCTAGAGGGTTAATAAACTCAACCAAACACATCCTATATTAGATATATATATGATTAATATATATATTTATATATTACAACTTAGGCTACATCTGCACAAAAGGACGTGAATGCACACGTAAACTTGACCGTGCTAGTTTGAAATGGTAACTAACGTTGTGGATTTGCTCTTCCCTTAACAACAATGCTGATACACGGGCAACTAACTTGCACTACAGAAGCAGTCCGGTCATGATTTTTCGGCTACGTTTGGAAGTGGTTGAAAGTGGGCAAGCTCAAAAGGTTTTAGATTCCGTTTACACCGAGAGGCTTCTCACTGCAGTGCAAATGGGCGGAGTTTACATCTAGCTCCCCCTTGCTAGACATCCAGTGAGGAGGGGCGAATGTCATTTGGGCCTAATGGGTGGAGCTAGAATATCAACCTAGTAGGGCTGCGTTCCAGTCAAAAATTGTCATGCCCTTCACTCGCAAACTTCCCTCTTGTTCACTCGGATGTACGTCATTGCTTACGTTGCACGAGTGCCCACTACTGGCGGAAACTGCAATTGGCTGAATTGGAACGTCCTAAGCCCTTGATCACTTGAAATCAGCCATGGAGTTGATTTATTATTTGAAAAAAAAATTCCTTTAAAGGGTTAGTTCGCCCATTTAAGACATGTTGTATGCAATCCTTACCAGCACTATAGTGCATACACACTGACCCACTCTGTTGTCACCTCCCTGGTCAGAGTTCTGGCCGCTGGAAGTTTTTCAATAAAGTACTCCCGGTTATTTTCCGGGGTCACAAAACTGTGTGTTTTTACAAGAAAAAATGATTTGCGTTTCAAAGCTTGATTAATTTACCACACAAAAAACACGCCGCTCAAAATTCATACCTCAGTTTTAATCGGCACTATTTTCTATCCATTTCTATCAATCCGCGCTGCTGTCAACGTCAACAGTCTCCCTCGGTCAAAATCGAGGGAACAAGTGTCTGTCCATATAAACTTCCCTCGTCCATTTTACGAAGTGGAACGCACTTCAAAATGGTGGCAGGGATTCCCCCGAGGGGAAGTGTTTAGGGAAGTTCGCAAGTGCGTGTCTAAAAGTGGACAGCCTTGGGCTGGGTAAAAAATATCGATTTCTCGATTTTAATCGATTCTCATTTTTACGAACCGATATCGATTCTTAAATTTTGGCGCTGTGGCGTAAGATCGCTCTGGCTCAGCTCAGCTCAAGAGAAGCAGCAGCGCGGAGCGCACATGATCTTCTCTTTCGCCTTAATACCAGTTACAGTGTGGAATAAACATGAATGAGCATCTGGAAGTATGTTAAAAGATAAAGTACAACTTATCAAAATCCGTATCATGTCACATGGAATCGCTCAATCAGTGTTTCAACCGTGGAAAGACGTCAGTAAAACAACTTGTAAACAATGTCATGTAACGTCACATTTACCTCAGAAAAAACATATCCAGTGATCATAAACTCGTTAGTCAGCTAGAAAAATGAACTCTAGAGAGGAGCATTTTGCTAAATATATGCACCATATTACATAATCATTATAATTTTTAACATTCTTCAATATTTAATGCTTGTTTGAATAATTCTGGCAAGTTTTTATGACCATTTAAATGTTTATATTTCATAGAACTTTATTATTATAAAAATAAATAAAAGTGTAATTTAAGTGTTTGTATGCAAATCAGTGTATATATAGCAAGACAAGAGGCTAACAATGTCAAGATCAATATTTGTGTAGCCTGACACGGTATTTCACACTGCACACGGATGCGGTCCAGCGATCTGTTCCACTGCGTATACAGCAGTGCAGAGATCGAGTCTATTTCTGCTGTGCTGTACGCGCTGAATTAAAGTGACAGCTCATGGTTCGTGGACACGAATGAATTACTACATTTTATTTAATTAAATGCATTGATGATGAAATCTCACCATAAATACATTTAATTAAAGAGTAGGCTACTATTTTTCAGTCATCTTTTTACTTTAAGACCGGGGTAAAGCAAGGAAACCTAGAATTTACTTCAAACAAGGACATACCGAACGACACTCGTCTCATTCGTGAGATAGAAAAACAAGTTATTTGTGGCATGCAAAATTTATTAAAGATTCAAATTTTGCATAAGAAAAGGTATGAGTCTGCTGTTTTTGTCAATTTTAAGTTTTCATTTAAAATGAGTACAGTATGTGTTTGTGGTACAGCCGCGGATCAGTTGCGCACTGTAAACGCAGCATATGTGAAAGCACTATAGCGCGTGCTGCTCCTGTACCGTATACGCACACGGAGTATGTGTGAAACGGGTGTAACTCGTCACGTATCTGGGATAGACTACAGTATTTAAAATGGCATACATAAGTTATATTCTCAATTTAATTTACAGAGCAATCCCAGCAAAGTGTAGAGACTAAGATTAGTGTGTGTCTGGGTGGGGGGCGTGGCATCACGATGATGGCTCTCCATCGTGATGTCGGTATCATCGTCCATCACCACAACCCTAGTCCACGTGATCCGATCAACCAGAAGTTTTCAACGCATCTTCATACCAGGTGTAAACGGGGCCTAAGATAATTGGACTGCTGTCTAACTAATGCATTTTTCAGATTGTTATATATATATATATATATATATATAATATGTGTGTGTATATATATATGTATGTTATATATATATATATATATATATATATATTCAAAAGTTAAGACTCATTTTCACTGAGGTTGCGCTTTGATCAAACATGCAGTAAAAACAATTAAATAGAAAATTATTTTTTACATTGTAGTAATATTTTACAATTTTGATGTTTTAAAATGTAGTTCTCTGTAATGTCAAAGCTGAAATTTCAGCATCATTACTCCAGTCTTCAGCGTCACATGATCCTTCAGAAATCATTATAATAGGCTGATTTGGTGCACAGAAACCTTGTTCTAAAAAAACAACAAAAAAAGTTTTGCTATGGTTATTTTATTGTTTTTAAAACCAAAAAGCTACTTACCCCAAACTTTTGAACGGTGTGTGTATACATTTCTATCCTCTGTTCCTTTTTTCTTAAATTTAACATTTTTACCTTTTTCTCTGTCTCTCTCTCTCCAGTCTCTCGTTCCCCCAAACCAGATGCTCCTTCCCAGGACTCTCCTCTTGCTACTCCTACCTACGTGGATACCTCTTCAGTTACCATGGTCTCCCCTAAACCCACTGGCCCTACCCCTCTGTTCCCTGTAGATGGTGAGATGTTATAAATTTGAGTGGTTACAAACTGTTCATTTCTACATGCGTCCGACAATCTTAACTCTTTCTTTCACTTTAGTGAACGAAATTCTGTCTAAGGAAAGGACGGAGGGTCCAGTTAGTCCTCAGGATGGCAAGAGCGGTAAAGGTAATCCTGAAGTTGTTATTCTTGGTAACTTCATTACATGCACTTGTTATTTAGCCAATAAATGTTCTTCTCTCTCTCTTCATAGTCTCTACAGTCCAGCAGAGATCACAACACCTCGAGGAGCTTCGCAAGTTTGGTACTGATTTTAGGGTGAGTGTGTCATAGGCTGCATCTGAAATTGAATACTCTGAGTAGGTTCTACTTTTGAATATTAATTACAACCTCATTTTCAGAAAAGTTGGGTCAATAAATTGCAATAAAATCAAGAATATGTGGTTAGTTATTCTTTTTAAACAAAGAAAAGATTTCCGATGTTTTTCTGAACTGCTAACATTTTGATTTTGAATTGTTTGACAATTCTTTCATAAAATTTGGCACAAAGTGATGAGCCATGACTCATCTTTGCTTTCAAAGACTAAGATGCTCCTTTTATACTCCATCACGATACCCTCACTAATGACCAATTCACCTACTTATTGTGGACCATTTTAAAATTGTTTAACTTGGATAATCTATAACCTTTTCATTTTGCCAACCTTTTTTGGAGTGTTGCATCCAGCAAAATCAAAATTCGTTTATATTTACAAAATACAATTTATTAGGTCAGTGGAAACATTGCAAATCTTTTCTTTGTACTTTTGTCAGTTAAATAAATGTTCAAGAGAATTAACCAATTTTAAAACTTTCTGATTTTTAGCTTCCATCTAGTTCCAGCCTTTCCAACCCCAAAACTTTGGCCACTGACTCTTCTCAAACAAACCCCGCCCACAACACACAAACAGACTCCACCCCTCCTACAGAAGCTAAAGCAGCCCCGCCCACAACTCTGACCGCTGAGCTTCCAGCAGAAGAGAGAAGTAGAGAGACAAAAGCAGAAGGGTTGGCAACCACCACCCCTCCACCAGCCACACCCATCTCTGCACCCTCTGCCCTATCCGGCACTGCCATGCAAAATCCAACTGCAGAAAGGCAAACGGCAGGGACGCCCCAACCCGGGACCCCAGGCAGTGAGGAGGGCAAACCAGAGGCCGCTGAGAGGTCAGAGGGAATGACTGAGTAAGTACACCATTTCAGAATATTTGGCTTAATTGATTTCCTAATCACATATTAAGTCTGTTGGTAATCAACGCATTTCAAAACGCTTTCCGATGCAGTCAAGTGAAGAAATCTACACTCAACCCCAACGCCAAAGAGTTCAACCCCACTAAGGCTCCTCTCAGCATGGTGAGAGCATTGATTTTCACTGTTTAGTTTCCTTTATACAGCCGTTAAAAAGCTAAGTGTGCCATGTCTATTTTGCAGGTGAAGCCCTCGGCCGCTCCCACCCCGCCACGGCCAACTCCGCCCAGCCCAACAGTGGTGTTGCAGCCCCCACCAAACCAGGGACCCATTTACAACACCCAGTACCTGAGCTATGTCTCGCCCATCCAGATACAGGGTCACTCCGTACAGGTCTCTGTCCCTACTGTTCATTTTCAAAAACTTTTATAGAGTAGTTTGAAACGTAGATGTTATATGTCCTTTTTTTTTTACTCTCCTTTTTTCTAGGCAACTCAGATGTACTCGTATCCCATGACAAATGTTGGTCAAGGGAAGTACCCAAGAGCAAAAGGTAATGCTTACATTGAACTTTTCATTACTGATTGTACTAATACTGTATGGATTAGTAGTAGTGTTAATAATTTTATCAGTCATTACAGATTATTTTAAATGCTTGCTTTAAATGTTGTTAAAAAAACAAAAACTAAACCTTAAAAACAACAACACCTACAATAGGGCCTGAAACTCTTATTTCTAGACAACAAAAACGATAATATCAATAACGGCCCGAAACTCTTAATTTAAATGGATTCTTATTAATAATAATAATGTTAATAATAAAACTATTATTTTAAAAGTTGTATTTAAAATATATATTTTTCAGATTGTATTGTAATATTACAATTTATTATATTGTCATTAATAATAATAATAAAAAGTTAAAATAAGAGTTTCAGGGCCTATTTTGCACTCTACTCATGAAGTGTTGCATATTCGTGTATTACTTCTGCCACCTGTTTCTCAGGTTCTGTGGTGACTTCTCGTCCAGACCACAGCTCTTCAGCGCCCCCTATGCTCCAGGCCGCGGCATCAGCAGCAGGACCTCCTCTGGTGGCGTCTCCTTACCCTCCCTCATATCTGCAGTACAACCAGGTCATATCAGCAATGCCCCACTACCCTGGACAGGTACCAACCTTCACGTTTCCGGTAGAACAAATGCTTCTAGTATTTCAATCAAACAAGATTTTGTTTTGAATTCTATTGTGGATGGCCACCTTCACTAAAAAAAAAACCCCTCTGTTATTTCCCTCTCTTTCTCAGATGTACTCAATGCTCCAGGGCGGACCACGAATGCTTGGATCGGGAGGGCACCCACAGACACTGGGTCCCCCAGGCCCACAGTACCCTGGTCAGACTGAAGGACCGCCAGCCCCTCAGCAGGGGATGTATGGTAAGCATTTAAATTTGTATTTTGTGGAATGGATTGATTTTTAGTTTTGTTTTTTTAATGTTGTCAACTATATACATTTTTCTTTCTTCTTCAGCTCCGCAGTCATTCTCCCATCACTCTGGTTCCCTTCATCATCCTCAGCCCTCCAGCACCCCCACAGGCAGCCAGCCGCCCCAACACCCCGCCCCCAGTCCAGGACAGGTACGTCCACCTGCCAATCAATAGCAACTACACACCTATTCCACAAACTCTCACTCAAAGAACTTAATCTATTATGTTACAAAGAAATATTCATTCAAGAAATCCCCCTAAGTTTCAAATGCTTTTGGTAATGATACTAAATATGTTCTGTGTTGACTGTCTGTCTTTTCTAGTCTGGTCAGTCTGGTCCTCAGCCTCAGTCTTTGTACCACTCTGGGCCGCTGTCAGCCCCCACACCCCCTAACATGCCCCCAGGACACAGCTCCCCACAGGCCTCCTACTCCCTTCAGGGCTACAGTCTGCCGGGACACCAGCCCCTGCCTCACCCGTACTCCTCTCTAGGACAGCTAACACAGGTGATGACCAACCACACACAGACACTTCCACATCAGCAGTCACGTTTCTCAACAGTGCATGTCTGCTTTGTATGAATTTCAATGTCACTGGATTTATTTTTGTTTATCCCAGTGTCAACATGAGGATTAATCATTAATCTGAGGATTAAAAAAATTATTAGCAAATGTTCTGTCAATCATTTTCTAAAAAGAAATCTTTTAAATTCTAAAAATAAATATCAGTGTTTCCCCTACCATTGTTTTGGGGGGGCGGCCCGCCCTAAAATGCTGACGAAATCCAGTCATAAAAAAGGAATTTACTGTATTAACGCGGAATTTCACGGAATTTGTAAATTTGAGGAATAAATAGAAAGCAGTTCAGTACACTTGAAATCAAATCGCGATGTTGACTAGTGTGTGTGAAAATTAAAACACAAAGACTATTTAAATACGAATCCTGCATGTTCTGTGTGAATGAATGGTGCCGCCGATGCGCAGTTTCATTTACCACACACACACACACACACACACACTGAAGCACGTGTGACGCTTGCGCTGTTTTTTGGCCCATATGAAGACACAAATGCATGAACCTCCTCTCCAGGCTCTAGATCCACTCTGAAAGTCACTTCGTGATCATTTCATCGCTTCATTTGAGAAAAACTATCATCATGACAAACGCACAGAAACTCAAAAGGTCTTCATGGCAACCCGTCAAAATAAAAGTTCGGTTTAACTTGACAGAAATATATTACTGTTGTACAATAGAATTTAGATATGTCCCAATGTAATAATACACTAATCTAACACAATTTCAGTTTTGATGATAATTTATTTGAAGCAATAATCCATGTTTTAATTTTAACAGTAAAGCTCATTGTGCAGCACGTTATTTGACAGTTTATTTAATTTCATATGATTAAAATTGATGATAAATGATAAAATTTGTGTTTTATGTCTTCATTTTATTACCAGAAAAAAACACAACACCGAATTAGTGTGACTTTTTTTCATATATATATTCTTTTAAATGTTGTATAAGTTTAATGATTCATAATACATGATTTCAATTAATTAGACATGCTTTTTGATTGGAAAAAAAATTACACAACGTATCCGTAACACGCCCGCTCCGCAACACTAGCAGCCCACCTACCCCCAACCCCCCCCCGAAAAAAAATCCTAGGGGAAACACTGAATATTATACTATAGAAATACTATTCCAAAGTTTATAATATTATTATTTTTTTTATAAATCACCATAGCTGCATTTTATAAAATAAAATCAAAGCAGTCTGTCAGCGCTCGAGCACCCAATTCAATTCTCCTGCACTTTACCGATCAAATACACACACTTGTGTGTCAATGCCCAACTTGAGTATTCACGTAAACTCAATCGGGTATGTCTTAAGTGAATGTAAACGGTAGGGAGAAAATTGGATGCACGTCAGTCATTATATAGTGCAGTCGGTCTTAGAAAGCAGCAGGTTTATTATTTGTCATTGTAATCAAACAACAAATGATAAAGAGAGAATCACTCGATGCTCTTGTCCGAAAAGGTTGTGTATCATATTTAAATCATACAGTAAAAACTGCAGTTTTGTTTAAATTTTATATTTGACTATTCAATTTCTGTAGTATTTCTTACTGAAATACCAGGCTAGACTTACTAGAAAACACATCAAAGCGAATTAAGACAGAAATATATCACTCTTGTTATTGCTATTTGTATCCCCAAATAAAAATGTAGTATTATTTTATTATACATTTTCAGTGCAGTATTAGTGTTACAAAATGTTTAAACGATTTTTTTCTTCTTACATTTAAAACACTATACAAAAAGTGCTATGAGGGTGTTTCTAATACAGCTGTCGTGGGAGTGACCGTACATTTAAATTCTTTCTATCTGACTCCCATGATCTGTTTTTTTTTTTTTTTTTTTTTTTTTTGGAAAGCCATAGAAAGGCAATTGTGGACTTTTTTTTTTTTTTTTTTTTTAACCATTGGAGCAAATGGTAGTGCTAAAATTGTTTGCTACAGTCTCCTTAGATACATCTATAGACCTTTACCCTCCTATAGTTCATTTAAACCCAGAAATGTCCAGTGTTCATTCATATATCTCTGTTGAGCAGGGTGATTTTGTGTGTTCGCATAGAAGTCAAAGGAAGTGGTGTGCAGGTCTTACATTTTTTGGAAAGGTCTTAAAAATCGTATTAAAATGTAAGTGCTGATACCTGCAAGAAATTGTTCAAAAAGTGACAGTAAAGTCATTTATAATGTTACAAAAATGCTGTTCTTTTGAACTTTATATTCATAGAATCCTAAAAAAAAGTATGTTTTCAGTTTATAAGGACAATGAATAATTGGGCATCAAATCAGCGTATTATGATTTCTGAAGGATCATGTAAGACTGGAGTAATGATGCTAAATATTAAGCTTTGACATCACAGGAATACATTTTCTATTGTAATATTTTAAAATACAATTATACACATACATAATACAAATAACTATTTTATTTCAGGCCCATGTTCAAGGTGCTCTCTCGGGTCCTCACCATTCTGGAGGTCACGGCCCACCACCTGTGATGTTGCTGCATGCCCCGCCCCCTCAGCAGGGTTCTGGCCCCCAGCACGGCCCTCCCCCACCCCAACAGGGGCCCCACCAGCACTACACCTACGTTGGACACCCTCAGGGTGAGTTTCCTGTATGAGTGTGTGATGTGACTGTAGATTTGCTATCTACCATTCTGTTTTCTATTACCAAAATCAGCTACTTATATAAATTTGATGTTTAATATGCAGCTATGTGCAGACACGTTTACCAAGTAAAAAAAAAAAAAAAAATTAATTTCTGTTTTTCTCTGCTCTCATCAGTGTCGGTGCAGGCTCATCCTTCCCAGCAGATTCCATTCCACCCTCCTGGAAACTGACAGTGTGACTTTTGAGATGGAGAATGAGCAGAGTGATCCTCCTGTGGGATCGCACGTGTATATACCCTCCACCTGCTCCACGAATGGAAAAAAAAAGATTTTGTTTTTATTCACCTTTGGCAAGACTGAATGTGCTTGTTTTATCCCCCCTTCCCTCCCCCTCCCTTTTGCTATTTTTAATTTGAGCGGATGGGGACACAAGTGTCTAAATCAGAAAGAGGGAACGAGTGAGCAAGACAAAAAATGGAAAGAATGAGGGACATTTTTATAAAAAATACAGTGACCTCTCCCTTTGTCCTCAACCCCCTTATTAAATAAGCAAATAATAAATGGTTAAAAAAAGAACAAAAAAATACAAAAAAAAAGTTTATAAAAATAAATTTTTAAACTCTCCATGTGTTTTGTCTCATGATTTGTTTTAAATGTAATTCTTTAATAAAATTTTTTTTTTTTTTTTTTTTTTTTTTACTGCTGCATTCAGTGACTAGAAAATGCCTTTCAAGTGTTCCTTACTTAAAATTTCTATCCATATTATAGCAACAGACGCAATGTAAATTAGTGATTAACTTTATTTCCACATTTACAAGCCAATAACTAAATGTTATAAACATTTGACTGTATAAAAGCTGTATATTACAAAGAGTCAAAGAAATTTCTCTGCACTCATATTTTTGGAAGCAAAAGCCTGGATGCGTTACGTAGTAAACAGCAAATGTTTAAAAAAAGAAATTCTCAGGTATCGTCAGCAGGATAGAGGGAGGAAGTGGAGTTTTCTGTGAGGTGGTAGTGGTTCAATGCTTTCTTGGTGGTGCTGCACTTCAAAATTCAAAGCATGGGTATATCTGGAGACACGGGATGATTTCCAGGCCTCTAACCACCTCACTTGATAGAAGGCAAATCCTGGAGAAAATATTTTTTTGGTTCATTGAAAAATCCAAAAATGTCAGACAGTCAAGTACAGTAAATTCGAGAGCTGTGTAGTACCTGGATCATTATGAGTTAGGCTCTGTGTTGACATAATCAGAGCTGCCCCGCTCATCATCACTGCTCACACTTCCACGGGATAGACCTGTTGGAGGGGAGGATCATGAAAATGAAAAATATATATATATTGAAAAGTTAGACAGATAAATCAGTACATATTGCTATTCATGTAACTGTAAAACTCAGTTCACGTAAACTTCAAGTATAGTGCTAAAGCTAATGAACTGATGTCACTTAATCATCAACATTTTGTTTGTCCACTGATTATCCATGTAAAAAAAAAACTGTTAAGTGGAAGTTAATTTTTTGAACAATCACTTACGAGAGGTTTGGTTTTGGGGGTCTGAAGAATTGCGGAAATTTTCATAATCGTGACAGTCTGTAAAAACACCACAGCATTCACACACTGTACTTAAAAATTTAAGGCAGCAACGTTTTTTACAATCAACTTGGATGTTTAAGTAATTTCAACTTAAATGTGACATATAATGCCCCTTTTCACAAGATGTAATATAAATCTATGTTGTCCCCGGCCCATATGTGTCTGAAATTTCAGCTCAAAATACCCCCCAGATCATTTATTGTAGCTTGTCAAATTTGCCCCTTTTTGGGTGTGAGCAAAAACGCTTCGTTTTTGTGTGTGTCCCTTTAAATGCAAATGTGCTACTGCTCCCCGCCACAGTTCAGAAGATGGCAGATAATTTACACGAGTTTTGGATAAAACACGCGAATCTCTCTCATCCAAAATCTCAGAAATAACCAGTAGCATAATGCAGCCTTACAGAGAGCCTCTGCAACTTTTAGACGCACCAGGACGTTTCTGAATGGTTAGTGGATACATTTATTTATGTACCGGTAGTTGTTGTGGTGTTACATTAGGGGCTTTCGCACCGGAGGAACCTTTTCATAGTTCCTAGAACTATTGGCGGAAGTTCCCGGTTTTTGGCGCGTTTGCACCGCAGGAACTGGGAACGAAACTAACTCTACGAACATATGGAAAACAGTGATAGATGGACCTCTTAACCTTACGCTGAGGAGAAAATTCAACTTGACTTTGAGGGGACAAGCCAACATGTTTATGTATTTCTGCTCAGCTAGCGACCTTGAGCATCAACCACACACGGCATATAAGCTAAACATTTTTCATTACTGTCTACTTTCTATGTATAACTATCTAATAACGTATTAGACAGGATTGTTAAACAGTTTGTAAACTAATGAAGACGGATAAATGGAGCGCTGTGTGCTCAGGCGTTCTCAGCGCCGTCAAAATAAAAGTTCCAACAACAATCGCGGCTACGCCACTTCAGAGTTCCTACTGGCGGTGTGAATGCAACCCTGATGCAACCAGGTAAACGTTCCTATGGGAACCACTAGTTATCGGGGAACCACCCTGGTGGCTAGTTCCTAGAACTAAGGGTGCTTTCACACCTGGATCGATCTGTTTTGTTCCGAAACAGATCCGAAACAGAATACTTTGTTTCGAATCAATTTAATACGTCACTCTGTTGTTCAGACCACACTGTTGTAAAGCGGTCCAAATCGCGCACCCTTCCAGGGCTTTCCTTACGTCATTACGTCACTACCTCATGCGTGCAGGTCGCGCATTCCATTGTGGGACATCGTCATGACAACAGTAGCCTAACACAAAATAAATCGCCGGTTGACTTGGTGCTACGAAGAGGTGAAATGCCTCATAGATATTTGGTCGGAACAACACATCTCCCGGATGTTGGACACAACAGATCAGCTATAAAATGAAAGAGAGGGGTTATGAACGGTCCGTCGAGCAGTGCCGCCCAAAGGCGAAAAAACTCCGACATTGATTTGTTCCGGTTCGTGGGTCGGTTGTGTTCTCACTACAAACGAACCGCACCAGGGTTCGTATGGAATCGAGCCAAGACCACCTCTTCTAGGCGGTCAATGGCGCCGCCAGGGGGTGGCCATGGCCACCCCTGGCCGACTCCTGGCCACCCCAACGGCCAGAATAAATTTTAGTAGCATCAGTTATGCATTTCATAAATAAGTCAAAAATATTCTTTAGTAAAAGAAGACGGGGCATTATGTGTCGTGACGTGCTTTTTAAGTGCCAAATGGTTACAGTATACTGTTACAGCAGCTTTTTGATGTGTCTTTGCCACGTTGTGACAAGCAGGGATGCAAACAGCGCGCTTTTCGGCGCCTCCCGCTTTTTTTTACGTCAGTCTGGGTGACAAAGTCATCTGAAGTCATTCCATAGCTTAATGTGAGGGACAGAACTCACAGAAGTCTATTTACATCATTAAAGTATATACGGAAACTCGTTTTCCCTTCTCTGCGTCTACGGCTGTCAATCATTCTCCATTCATATTCAAACAGCGCGCGCGCCTCTGAGATATATCCAGCTGCAGACCCGCAGCACCACCAGTTTCAGAACCCCAGCGCCAGAACCCCAGTGCCAGAACCGGAAGTGAGGGAGGGGCGGAATTATTGACAATGACACAAGCAAGGTTATTTTTGCAAGTATTTAAAAATATTTAAAATTGTTGCATCTTTTAAATAATATTTAGGGTATGTTTATATTACACAGTGAGTCTATAGGAATACCAGACTTACATTTCACTGCTCGTTGTATGAACTATAACTGGTATGTGACAAATAAAGAGCAAGACAGCGCTCGTGTTGTTTTAAGACAGAGTGTGCGCGCGCGGCCAGGGCTCTCTCTCTCTCTGCTCGTTAAGCGCCCTGTCATGCGCAGCAGTCATTCTATTCTACATCACTCACCGATCAAAATAGGCTTTGGCGGGACACAAATTTGCTTTGGCGGCCGCCAAAAAGCGGACGATCTGACGGGTTTTAGAAGATTAAATACAACCTGAAACTAAAAAACAGACCCGACCTCTATTTGAGACCGGCCTTTATTGACCCAAACCTGCAGCCACACCAGGCGTGTAGGCTAAAGAGACAATCGGCTATTTGGGACTCGGCTATTATTTGAAGTTTTACGGTACATTTTTATTGTTTCTTTTAAAACAATGCCGAATGTTCAAAGATTTTGGACATTATTTTACATAAAGAAAAATGCATGCTGCACATGTTCTTGTGAAATAAAGTATATTTTATATAAAATTTATTATTTATTATTTTTTTTACCATCATGACCAGGAAGTAACTCTCATAATACAATGAAACGGATAACTATATACAATTATATTACACAAAATCATTGTTTTAAAATGCTTATTGTACTATACCTTAATATATCATTATAATACGTATAAAGTATGACGTTTCGTGTGTAATAATGCCGTTTCGTGTCTAAGCAAATTACGCTCCAAAACGTTAGGTGTCGTTACTCGGTTTAGAACGTAAGCTCCGCCCCTCACTTCCGGTCCTGGCGCTGGTGTTAGAACGTAAGCTCCGCCCCTACTTCCGGTTCTGGCGCTGGGGTTCTGAAACTGGTGGTGCTGCGGGTCTGCAGCTGGATACTATTGGCGCCTCTTGGATGCACGGTAAAACTCTCTCCAAATTATATATTCACATTATAATGCATGATCTGTAGATAAAAGGCTGTAGATTTGCATAAAATTACTTTATTTTGTTGGAGTTTGTTGTTTTTAAACGACTCACTACCGTGTGCTTGCTAGATCATCACACACACATCACAGGGACTATGAATCGGCATCAAACGCACAATAACTGGAATATAAAACTGAAACAAAGGAACAAATCGCACTAGGATTTGTGCGCTCGACATTTCTTCGCTTTGTGACGTGAACTTATAAATGCGCACTTATGCAGCGCAGCGCTGCACACAGAGTCACCATGTTGCTTTGAGCACATCATTCTGCACCCGTGATGCGCATACACGCTGTGTGCGCTCTGTTTTTCATGTTATCATGGGTTTGCGCACTGAAATATTATTAAAAGCCAATATATTTTGTTATACCTAGCCTGCTCAATACATTTAAAATAAGCATAATTTAATTGTATATTATTTCTTTGTAGTGTGGGCTATATATGCACTTCTGAATTCTTGACATTAATATATAAATATAAAATTGTGAAATGTATGATTGCCTGATTGAATTTTATAAGAGGACTAATAGTAATTTGTTTTTATTAACATATTTAGATTTTATAAAATTACTGTGCAGATTTTTTCAAGAATTACTTTTTGCTGCTGATTTATACACTCATTAAGTTTATTAAAAAAATCATAGTACATTTATGTAATATTTAAAGGTGTTAACTGTAATCTTACACTGCAAAATAATAACTTAAAAAGGATTAAATTCATCACAATTATGTAAGTATCTGGAAATTTGCCACGGGGCAAGGGCCCTTATATATATATATATATATATATATATCATATAATATATATCATTATATATAATATAATATATATTAGTAGGGTCCTACTAATATCATTAGTAAGCTAACATTGAATATAACACAATAAACCAAAGTATATCAGTAGGAGTTTCCTTAAGTCTTTCTGATAGTTTTCTACAGGCCTGTTTACTACAACAGTAGAATAAAATTCTGAAATTATGGTTTATAGTTTTGGTGTGCCACCCCAAGATTTTAAGTGGCCCCATCTGGCCACCCCTATGAAAAATTTCTGGAGGCGCCACTGTAGGCGGTCTCGGCTCGGTTGTTTTGTTCCGATTCAGAGTGCGATTGTTGTGTTCACATATGACCAAACGAACCGGTCCAAAAGGGAAACGCCCCTTTGTTTCGGAACAACGTCTCCAATCGATCCAGGTGTGAAAGCACCCTAAGTTCCTTGAACTCTCCGGTGCGAAAGCCCCTATAGATTCATCTGTTTCTGGGGGATTTCCGTTGAAAATAAAATTAATCCACTGCTCTCTTGTCTCATCTGAGGCTGGGACTCTAAATATGTAGGCCTACTCATCTGTGCAGCCAACGACAGAAAAGTTTGCATGCTTTACTCGAACTTTTTCCATTGCATTAGAACTGGTTACACTGTCGCTTGCGAAAACCAAATGGCGATTAAGGGGCGGTAATATTATAAAAGGATCCCCTTCCTACGTCAGAAGGGGAGCGAAATCTGATCGGCTTATTTTTTTTACACTTGCAGAGAAAGGCTTACCAAAACAAAGTTACTTGGTTGTCACTTTTCACGTTTTGTGGGTTGGGGAGATGCACCAGGGACCCAATTATAGCACACGATTTTCATGATATGTCACCTTTAAATTAGATTAAACTGACTTTTTGAAAATGAGTTGAATCTTAAATAACTCAAGTTATGATATGTATTGCAGCTGTGCATTTATTTTCAGCATGTAGTAAGCCTACCTGAGTTGGATTCATCCTCAGAGGGACTTATCTCTTCATTTATATACGTTTTTTCTACAAAATTAGATAAAATCATCAGAAGATTCTATTTGACAATTTATTTATAATTAAACAAACGTAAATAAATTGCTATCCTTGTCTAATCTCAGATCTTTTACCTGAACTGTGGGATGAAGGCTGTGTGCCTGGGGAATCTGGAATCACAAAACTGGAAGGACAAAAAATATATATTTTCCTTCAGTTTCATATGGATATTTATTCAGATTTAGCCTAACTAATAGTTTGGAACAACTTGTGAAGATTTGGGATCAGGAATGAGTGCTCTTCTTACATGTAGTTCATGTTCGTTTCATCTTCACTGTCTAGAGAAGAATCACATATTCTGGATTATTATCCAGTCAATCTCTCATGCACACACATTTGTTCACTCACAAAGATTTTCCATGTCACCCATAACTCGGTTTCATGTGTAAGGCACAATTACAATACACTCCATAACTACTCAAAAATGTGTCATTCGATTTCCTACCATGGTCTTCGACATGAATGTTGCTTCCCTCCTCACCGTTTTGATTCACATAACTGGCTTGACTTCCAGCTACAGAGACAAAAAATGGAAATGCGTGCCTTAATAATATTACTCCTCATCACTTGCATAGCACCTTTTAGTGTATTCAAATTGCTTCACGGGTCACATTATACTGTATATATATGTATAAAAAAGGTATGGGAAAAAATTAAACAATTAAAAATGTTAATTAAATTAATTAAATAATAAGAAAAGGAAAAATAAAAAGGGGGTACAACTTTAAAATAAGATTTCATTAGTTAACATTAGTTCAAATTAACTAGCAAGAAACAATACTTCTACAGCACTTATTATTAGTTGCTGTTCATTTCAACATTTACTAATACATTTTTAAAATAATTCATGTTAATGCACTGTGAACAAGCAATACAGAATTGTATTTTTATTAATTACCATTAACAAAGGTTAATATAAAAAATATATATTTCTCATAGTTAGTTCATGTTAACGAATGCATACACTAATGGTAACAAATGTAAAGTGTTCCCCAAAAAATAAAGGAAAAATATGAAAATATTAGCAATACTTAAGAAACTCAAAATATAACTTATACACTCACCTAAAGGATTATTAGGAACACCATACTAATACTGTGTTTGACCCCCTTTCGCCTTCAGAACTGCCTTAATTATACGTGGCATTGATTCAACAAGGTGCTGAAAGCATTCTTTAGAAATGTTGGCCCATATTGATAGGATAGCATCTTGCAGTTGATGGAGATTTGTGGGATTCACATCCAGGGCACGAAGCTCCCATTCCACCACATCCCAAATATGCTCTATTGGGTTGAGATCTGGCGACTGTGGGGGCCATTTTAGTACAGTGAACTCATTGTCATGTTCAAGAAACCAATTTGAAATGATTCGAGCTTTGTGACATGGTGCATTATCCTACTGGAAGTAGCCATCAGAGGATGGGTACATGGTGGCCATAAAGAGATAGACATGGTCAGAAACAATGCTCAGGTAGGCCGTGGCATTTAAACGATGCCCAATTGGCACTAAGGGGCCTAAAGTGTGCCAAGAAAACATCCCCCACACCATTACACCACCACCACCAGCCTGCACAGTGGTAACAAGGCATGATGGATCCATGTTCTCATTCTGTTTACGCCAAATTCTGACTCTACCATCTGAATGTCTCAACAGAAATCGAGACTCATCAGACCAGGCAACATTTTTCCAGTCTTCAACTGTCCAATTTTGGTGAGCTCTTGCAAATTGTAGCCTCTTTTTCCTATTTGTAGTGGAGATGAGTGGTACCCGGTGGGGTCTTCTGCTGTTGTAGCCCATCCGCCTCAAGGTTGTGCGTGTTGTGGCTTCACAAATGCTTTGCTGCATACCTCGGTTGTAACGAGTGGTTATTTCAGTCAAAGTTGCTCTTCTATCAGCTTGAATCAGTCGGCCCATTCTCCTCTGACCTCTAGCATCAACAAGGCATTTTCGCCCACAGGACTGCCGCATACTGGATGTTTTTCTTTTTTCACACCATTCTTTGTAAACCCTAGAAATGGTTGTGCGTGAAAATCCCAGTAACTGAGCAGATTGTGAAATACTCAGACCGGCCCAGTCTGGCACCAACAACCATGCCACGCTCAAAATTGCTTAAATCACCTTTCTTTCCCATTCTGACATTCAGTTTGGAGTTCAGGAGATTGTCTTGACCAGGACCACACCCCTCAATGCATTGAAGCAACTGCCATGTGATTGGTTGATTAGATAATTGCATTAATGAGAAATTGAACAGGTGTCCCTAATAATCCTTTAGGTGAGTGTATCTTCACAAGCAAAACATCTTTTGTGACATGTTTGTATTGTAGTAATAGAGCACAATGGCAAACATTGTAAAGAAAAAAGAAAATACTATAAGGTGCTGTTTTTATTTTATTTTTACATTGCACATGAGCTGTTCGATTATTATCTCAAAGGCCATGACTGTACGTTACTCACTTTCTGAGGGAGGACAGGAGGGCAGCTTTGTGACAGTAATAGATGGTGAACTAAGTGAACTGAGGGAAGAGTGATTATTAACACACTGGAGCACAACACAGTCTGTGTGTATATCTGTGTTTGTGTGGAAACTCACTTGGCTAGTGGGTAAGGTACGCTGCTAATCCTGTGATGATCTGGATGGGGCGCATCTGAATAATAAGGGAGGATAAAAGCATGTATTTGTATGCAGATTATACAATAATTTATGGGTTTTGTTGTGTATTAGAAGAAAGGACAAATTATTTACATGTTGACTGGGGATGCCGAATCACAAATCTGTTTGAAGAGAGACAATGTTGAGCAAACATACATATACAGCTTCAAACACATTCAAACAAAAACATTCTGTAGATATATATGATAATTATTACTGATATAATAGTTTAGCAGACAAGATCCTTTATATGGCAAAATTTGTAAAACAGCTATGCAAGATTTTATTTCTTACGGTGCTGGACTAGAGTCACTGGACCTCTGAGGTATGGATGCTGTAAAGTAAATAAAATATACCCAATAAACAAACTAAATAACGTGATGATAATTTTTACAATGGATTTTAATTATTATACATTCACCTTAAAAGTTAAATAGTTTTTTACAAAGTCGGGCTGACAGAATTAGCTAATGTTTTTAATGCACGACGTGGAGGCAAAGAACCGCCCGATGTGAACCGGAGGGTGGTTGCCTCCGCGAAGTGCATTAAAATAGTTTTATGCACAACTATCTGTGAATTATCCCGCTTATACCATGGCCATTTGTTAGCATTGTTTGCAGCACAATATTTGACCGGTAAAAATTGACAGTTATTTTCCTCGGTTACGGCTTGTTAGATCTAGCGTTCTGCCCGCTTTGAATCAGACACAGAAAGTGAATTGGCCTCGTTTACACTGCAGGTCTTGATGCCCAATTCTGATTTGTTGCCTATATCCGATTTTTTTTACCGTCCGTTTACACGTTCTTTAAATTGTGACCCATATCCGAGTCATGTGTTTACACTTGACTGAAACATCGCGCATGTTTAAAGGGGTCTTCTTGTTCAGATGGACGAAGCGCAGCGAGATCTCAGGACAGGTGGGAACATACAACATGATCTCATAAAAGTGAGTAGCCTATCTATAGCACAAATTTTATTTCTCATGCCATTTATAGCCTACGCCAAAAATAGTTTTTGCTTCCATATGATACGCACTGTAAACGTGCGTATTAAACGCCATAAAGCTATATTTTTGGCGTAAATGCCACGTGAAAAAAAAATCGTGCAATAAACGCACTTTCATGAGATCGTGGCGGGCTTTAACGAGGAGCAGTGGGTCCGAAATTTTAGGATGAGCAAGCCAACCTTCGATAAGTTGTGTCCACATTCCTCTCCTACGACGACACAATGTTTCATCGGGCCATCCGTCCATCCGCAGATGCGCGTCTGGGTTTCTCTCGTCATTAAACCGCGGAGACGCAGCCTAATGCCTCGGAAAATCCGATCTGCCTGTTTACATGACAGTCGCATTGGCACATATCCGATTTACATCTGATTTATTTCCACATATGAACGAGGCCTGAAACCGATCTCGAAATATCCGAATGCATGCGTTTTTTTCCTGTTTACACTGTCATAGAACACATCCGATCTGTGTCGCATACGAGTAAAAAATCGGAATTGGGTCACATTTCACTGACAGTGTAAACGAGGCCAAAGTGACACGTGATGGCCAAGTATGGTAACCCATACTTGGAATTTGACCTCTGCATTTAACCCATCCAAGTAAGTGCACACACATTAGGAGCAGAGTAGTGAACACACACACTGCAAACGTGGATACACACCCGGAGCAGGTGCCTTGCTCAAGGACACCTCAGTCATATTCCTGCCGGTACTGGAATCGAACCAGCAACCTTTGGGTCACCAGTCCAACTCTGTTACCATTAGGCCATGACTGCCCCTCTAAAGCCGCGTTTCCACCGCAATTACCAGGAACTTTTTGTCCCAGGAACTTTTTTCATAGGAACTTTTTTTGCCCTAGAACGGTTGCTCACTGCGTTTACACCGTGGACTAAAGTACCGGGAAGATTAGTCTGGTGACGTTGAACTGCGTGCGACTGCTCCTCCCAGTCTGCGCGTACTTGTTTTGAGTTTTAAAGGTTCTCTAAGCGATCCTGGGTGACGTCACTTCTTGTTGACGTTCGAACTATTGCCAAACAAAACGGAGGCTAGCTAGACCCTCCCTCCTCCTCATCCGCACACTAACCCCCCAAACCACACCCCCAAACCCTTCTTGTCGGTCATTGGCTGGAACAGTTTGTTATGTTTTGGGGAGCGGGTCGCTGCAGTTTGTTTTTGGTGCTGTTTGTGAAGCATGGGCTGTCTACAGAGATCGCGTTTCTTTACAGTGTGTTCAGGGGACAGGCAGCCAGCGGATAGTGAGGAGATGTTTGCTGTATGTGACAAAAAATGTTTTGGCCTAAAAAACACATGACATCGCTTAGAGCACCTTTAAGTATTGAGGAGATTCAAGCTGTGCTGTTTTTGTGTGCGATCTATTGGTTTACTAGACAACGTTTGTTATCAGCTATAGCGGACATGACCGTGAGATGGATGGGACGAACGCGCGCCATCCGGCAGAGAGAACAAGGTAAAAGAACCAATCAGCATGTTCAGCGCACAAGTCCCACCCCGAAAGTTCCTGAACTCTGAAAAAGTACTACCTCGCCAGCAGGGACTTTCTGGGGGGGAAATTTTTACCCGGAACTTCATTTAGACCCTGGTTCCTGCGGTGTAAACACACGGAGTACCACCCCAAAGTTCCTAGTTCCTGGGGAAAGTTCCTGCGGTGGAAACGCGGCTTAAGATAGAGGGGCACTATAGATAAACATTTATTTGAATGAGTAAATTATAGCATTTATTTGAATTAATTATCAAAAGAGAGAGAGATGAAAGATGCGTAACCTTGTCTGTTCAGCGTCTCTCTCTCTCTCTATTAAACAACGGAGCTGTGAGTTTAACTAATTAAGAATAGCGCTGTAAATATAATGTAGTGAGTCAGTTTTATGTTATATTCTATATTTTATCAATAAAATTCGCGGGGCAGCGTTGATAAATTTCTGTGCTCCTGAATGTTTCTGTGTGTGCGCAGCATGATCTCCGCTCTCTGTGTGCTAGTGACGTGTGTGTGCGCTTCAATTAAGTTTTTTGGCTTTTAGTATTAATATTTTAGCCTCACTGTAATCTAGTGTGCTCCAAAACAATGACAAAATTCGCATTTAGAAGATATACACGTTCAAAACTTAATCTCTCACTTGGAGAGGATCACATGGATCAATGATTCTGATGACATCACTCTGATGACAATCAACTATGACAACACTCAGCTTCTCATCAGATTTTCTGTCCAATCAAATGCTCTCTAGAATCTAAAGCGTCCATCCCTTATACATTAGAAATAGATGCTGAAGCTGCAGCTAAAATCGGTCATTTGTTCACACATTTACTATTTTCTACACGGTATATGGCACATAGTGAACTATATAGGGGATAGGGAACGATTCAGACAGTGTAAATATACTTTTCATTGGGGCGAATAAAGTCTGGTTTCACATTAGTCGCAGAGCACAGTCTGCTCCGGTCCAGAGACACAGTAGCAGATCATATGCACGAGTCGGCGCAGACCACAAAACATATCGGACCCATTTGAATTCTGCACAGAATGCTGTATTTTAAAGCGATATGGAGGAGATTAGGAGGAGAAACGGTTAGAGATTCGGAGGGAACTGCAGCCTTACCGAGCGCAACAGATCTGGCTGAGCTGTGATATAAACAAAACGCTACTGGCTACTTTAAAAAAAGGGGAGGAACTGTTTGATATGTCCTGCCCTGTCCTCCTGTTCCAGTGGAAATTACATCAACGTGTAGCATTATTGAATAATGCTACACGTTTCAAGGCAATTCAGTGGGCCAGTTTAATTGCACACCTTTCAGCCAATCAGAATCGAGTATTCAGACAGACCATGTGTAGCAGAGTCTGACTAACAAATCTATCTTATAACTCTTCCTTATAGGGTCATTTGAGAGTTGTGCGAAGTCAATACATTTTGTTTAATCACAACACATCCTTTTTAACATGAAGCTTTGACGAGACAATTTAAAAAAAATTATTATTATAGATAAAGAGAGTTTGGAGGTCTTACTTGGTTGTTTATACCGCCAGCAGTATGTACAAAGACTGGTTGCCAGTATGATTGACAGGAAGAGAGCCCCGCCTACCACAGACAGCAGTGAAGTGGAGTCCATAACTGAGAAGACAATATGAGAACATCGATTATAGTATTAGGCCATAACGGAGAGCAACAACCCTCTTTTGAATCTGTGGTTTCAGGTTAGTATGACTAACACAGAGAAATGTTTGCTCATTTTGCACAAATGAAGCAGCAGCAAATGAAAGGTTTGGTGAACTCATTTAATTTGGTTTATATGAAACTGACCTATTTTAATTATACAAATGAAACAACAGTGAGATGATTTGTTTAGGTGCTCTTTCTTGTAGCGACACAAATTTTAAGAAACAGCTGAAGATCCAGATCTTCCATGAGCTCTTTAAAAACATTACTCATAATTTATTTTTCCCCCTAAATATATACTTCTTAAATTTGAAGAACTACATGCTTTAATTTCCACCATGCACATTTATATCCCTTAACTAGCTTGCATCTCTCCGGATACTTTGTGTACACAAATAAATAAGCCTTATTTTTAAGATTTACGCAAATGTAATTAATAGTCCATCAATCCATCAGATTGAATTGAATAATCCTTACGTATTTTGAGTAATTGACACAATCCTTAATCAATTAAAATACATAAGGATTATTCAATTCGATTTGATGGATTTTTACTATTAATTAAATCACATAAATCTTAAAATAGGCTTAATTGTTTTTAAAATGTGTCTCTTTGTCTTTCAGAACTTCTAACGGTGCTGTTGATTTGACTAATCGTTTGCTTGTACACTAAACAAATCCTATTCTTAATCGGTGTCATCTTGTTTTCCAGTAAAAACATCTCACCTTCAATAAAAAAAAAAGTAGGAGTCGTTTTTCGAGAAAACATATCTTGGAAATAAGATTGTTTCTTCAACTAGGACAGTTTTAGCCCAAATCCCAATTTTTAAACAAAATGTGTACAATCCAGGTTCTGTTTTAGCTCTGTGATCTTTTAGACAAAACAAAAATGAGTCTAATTTGACTTTTGACAATGTCAAAATAAACAATAATCATATAAAGAACTCTCACCTGTGTCATGTCTATTGCATCTCAAATAGTGTATTGTGCTTGATAGCGTTTTGTGGAAATTACATTTGAAATATTTTTGCAATAAAATGAACTCCCCGCCAAACTCCCTGCTAAAGATTATTTTATAGCTATAGCATTTTGTGCATCATAAATTCACAAAGATAATTATTTTTACAATTTGACACATTATTAAACTGTATTATTAAACACTAATCTGGATAAGTGATATTTATCTTGATTTCTCTTTATTCACACATCACATGTCTGATTTCGCTCTTCACTGATACCGTTGCCTTCATGATAAACAAATAACACATTTTAGGGGGAAAAAACTCTTTGTTTAGATTTTTATAGTTTCAAAATGTAATTCTCACATTTTTATAATGTATTTTTTCATGTTTTAGGTTTAGACAAGGGTAAAAAAAAATCTACTGGAATCTACACGCAAAAAAGAAACTTGATATGCATAAATATAAATTATGAAAGTGTGATAAAGTTTTCAAGACCGTTTTAATGTGACCACATAACAATAAATGAAGCTAAAAGCTAAAGTTAGTACTCAATATGTTAGTTTTAATAGAAATCTGGGACATGAAAGCACAGAAATTGAGCAAACTCCTGTAAAGGTATTTTATGAGATATTTGGCCTAAACAGCACTGTGTGTATATATATATATATATATATAGACACACACACATATACATACATACATACATATATATATATATGTATGAATGTATATGTGTGTGTGTCTATATATATATATATTTATACACTGCCATTCAAAAGTTTGGGATCGGTAAGGTTTTTTGTTTTTAAAAGAAGTCTCTTATGCTCACCAAGGCTGCATTTATTTAAAAAGAAAGAAAACAAACTGTAATATTGTCAAATATTATGACAATTCAAAATAACTGTTTTCTATTTGAATATATTTGAATATATAATTTATGATAATTTATGCAAAGCTGAATTTTCAGCATCATTACTCCAGTCTTCAGTGTCACATGATCCTTCAAAAATCATTCTAATATGCTGATTTGCTGATAAAAAACCCCATTAATTATTATTATAAATCTTGAAAACAGTTGTGTACATTTTTTTTTCAGGATTCTTTGAACGCCAGTGTATATATATATATATATGTGTGTGTGTGTGTGTGTGTGTGTGTGTGTGTGTGTCAGCTAATTTAACAGCATTACGTATAACACTCGGATAGAAAACAAACTCCTGATTACCTCAGCATGAATCACTGTGTGCATTTTAGTGGAAATAGGCTTTTCTTCTCTGTAACATTTCAAAAAATCTCCCCGAGAAGTCAGCTCTTTTCAAATGATATGTTTAGCTGATTTTAATGTCAAATTCTCAATCTGCGAGATTTCACACGGCATCACCTTTCTTGCAAGTTTTACACACCTTTATATATATGCGCGTGTGTGGCTGTCTGTGGTTGCATTCAGTGCCAGGAAACGGATTTCCTGTATTTTGCAGTTAGACGAGGAGAAAAAAAAACGACATATTATGAGAGGTTTGGGCCTCTCTTAATCCTAGAGCTGTCAAGTTATAGAGAACTACTACCCAGAACCCCAAAAAGCAGGTCGGATGGCCTACACTTTCTTATTTTAAGTACATGTAAATTTGGCATGTTCTTTGACACCCAATACTGTATTATGGTGATTTTGACAAATCAAATCATGAACTCATAATGAACAAATCATGACCTCATCCAACACAACAGGACTACTAATTTATAAGCATAAAATTATTAAAGTATTCGTATAACTCCAATACATGATCTACTGCATGCATTGAGAAAAGGTGCAAGAGAAAAAAACTAAGAGCATGAATGTAATTGGCTTGACAAAGGAAATTGAGTGTAATAACGAGGTTTTATTTGCGGTTGAAGACATTTTGACCCTTTGATCATTATCAAACTACAGCCACTTAACAAGCCAGCAATACGGTATCAGTCAGTTTGTGACTGAGCTAGTAAATTAAACTTCGAAATAATGTGATGTATGAACTAAACATTTTTATATTTTCTTACTATGAAGTCCACACCTAAAGTTAAGGAAAGTCACCATTCAAATTCATTTTTGTCCTGATAGATGTTTTAAGCTCTTCACGTTGGTGCTCAATAGCATGTTACTTGCACAGAAGAAAACCAAAGGTGTTGACAGTAAAGTTTGGACTGCAAAGTTCCTCATCTCCACTGATCAAGAGCGGCAGATCGCATAGGATCTCTAGAGTTTGTGGCGTTTCAGTTTGCAGAAATAAAATGTAAATGAGTATTACTTTACTCAAACTCAAGCTCTCTGTATCGTATCACAGAAAACGTCAAGAGTATTCCACATAAAAGTATGCCACAGTTTTACTTGGAGAACAGAAAAAGTAAAAAGCTTACCTATCAGAAGCAGCAGTCAAGTCAAATCAAGACACCACACTTTCTGCTCAGCAGAAACCTGCAACCAAACTGGAGACCAGTTCACACGCACGCTGTAGATGGTAAAAATCACACCTAACTCACAGCTCACTATGAAGGTGCCACCATTTTTTATTCTTCCTCCCACACAAATCACTACTTGTTCCTCCGTTTTCTAAATGACCTCCCAGCCCAAACTTGAACAATCCCAGTAGTCAGTCTATTAATACGCTCATATCTGCTGAGAGGTTTTATCAATTCATACGAGCCGTTGAGGTGCGTCCTGATCTACAGGGCCTTTGCTGCAAAGAACTTCACTTTTAGGTTTCTCTCCTCGCTGCACTTGCTCTCTGCCTCCTCATAGGCTCATTGAAAGCGCTGTTCCATCACTTGCACCAGTCAGCATCTTTTCTCCCCCCTTTTCATCTCTTTAACTGGCTGCTCTCTGGCTCATTTCACCTCCCTTCCTTATCTCGTCTCTTATATCTGCAGGTTCGCTTTCTTGCTCTTCTGTTGTCATGCAGATTTGATTGCTTGTTTTAGTTTTCCTAGTTTCTTAATTGTTATCATTTGTCAGATGTTAGAGAACATTTAACACGGTCCACGGACCACTAAATGAGCATGGGTAAAAGACGAAGTCAATAAGGCCTGATTTTCCGTAAAACCTGTTTTCAAACATAGATTATTAAAAGTGCTTTTTAAACTGAAAAGATCGAGATTCATTAGGCTGAGAATTTGAGCACATTAGAACAAAATCATAAGTTTTTAAATGTCAAATAATAATAATAACTGGTCATTTTAAAAGACAATAGTCATGCTTTATAATGTTCCACAATAAAGTTACACACAAGTGTTTCCCCTGCAGTTTCATGAGAAATTAATGAGTCTTAAATTCAAATTAAACATTTCAAATTAAAAACTGTCTGTGTAGAGCCGTAAGAGTTAACTGCGCCTCATTTATGGCGGACAGTGAGTCATAATTTCTCAGTCTTGCCTCCCACTCTTGTGGTGTTCTTGTAGCCTACACAAACACAATTGACGGGAATGACATATAGGTACAAGTATATTCTCACATGCACAACAACATCCACCAAATGCTCCACTGCACGGAGAATGCATGTTTCGATTCAGGCTCTTCGGTTTTCATAATTCATTCACGAGACTAATTTTCACAGCAAATTTACCAAACAGGCTTGCATCTCTATATCCCACCTACAAACAGGAAACCACAGCAACTGAAAAACCTTATGATCGTCATCGTTGCCACTGCAGAGAGAAAGAGAACGCAAACATGCAAGAGACAGAGAGAAAGATATAAAGAAGTTTTAAAAAAGACTTGCCATTATTAAGATATGCTGTAAGTAGAAATAAAGAGAGTAACAGATTTAAAGACTCAAAAAGACACAAATAAGATTACATTTCTAATTTAATATTTAGAAAAGTTACAAAACAAGATTAGCAAGCAAGTTTGTAAATGATGTCAAAAGTATCGCCTGGGAAACAACCACAGCAGAAGGAATGCACTAAAAACTGACTTCGTTTAAAAAAGAAAAGAAAATAATAATTACAGTAAAAATGGCACATTAAAACATGCCATGAACCAGGCCATTGCAACAAAAATATGTAACAATATTATTTTAAAAAATATCATCAAGCTAATTAGTATCTGAATCATGCCATGGTAGCATTAGTGTTTGTTTTCTTCGTCCGTCCTAAAAAGACCCAGACAGCTCAAATGTAGTATGTAAGAAAACATTAAAACAAGAAGAAAGTGGAAAGTTTGTAAAGGCAGATCACAGACATCTGCAAGTTTTGATGAAAACAAATGCAACGGTTCTTTTGAGAGTGAGAGATTTGAAAAAATCAATTCAGGTCCCCTCCAATAAAAAAGGTACTTTACACTCGAAATGTAAACCGCAGCTAGATGAGTTTTAATTAAAGGTGAAGAATATAACCTCTTCTTTCCATGTCCCATGTGTGCCTCTGTCTCCTCCCACAGGACTTCTCCGGGTGAAAGGCAGAATGGTTGATGGCACACATGACTTCCAAGTACGATGTTCCTGATTTTTTGTTAGTTCATAATGTTCCCAAAATCAATATTGGCGTTAAAGACAAAAACAAAAAATATGAGCATAATAAATTACTATAAAACTCCATATTGTGGAGATTGTCCAATCAGTGATTCCATGTTTGACACTGCTCCAGGATTGGCTACTGATGGCACTGGCTCTGTCTGCCAAAGCCAATCAGAATGTTGTTCCCCATGTTGAAAAGCATCCAAATTCTTGCATCATCTCAAATTAAAACACTTGACACTGACACTTTAGTGGACCTGCCTCTCTTAGGAACAACAATTGGTGCGTCATCTGGAAAACAAAGAGACATCAGTATATTAGATTTCTAAAGTGCCTGTAATGACCCTGCAAAATCAGCATGGGAATAAGAATTATAATAACAAATAAATAAATAAAGGAAAAATGGGCTTGAAAGTAAACAACCAATCAGTATTTTGTACAATAAAGGGAAAAAAAATATTTAAAGCTTGATGTCTGTGGACTGCATTTGTGCTGTCAATTATAGTTAACTAAAACCATTTTTTTTTTAAAAAAGAAAAGTGAAATAAAATAAACATTAGTTGGCAAGACAACATTTTTTCATTTTTATTTAGTATAACTACTCATTTAGCTATACATTTTCATTTAGTATAATACTAGAATAACTTAAACATTAATACAATCTAGACTTAAAGTCTAATACAAATACAAAAAACTCAATCAAATTAAATGAAACTTAAAATGGAAAATCTGAATATAATAATAATAATAGTAATAAAAATAATAGTATCTCAGTTATACTAAAATACCGCTGATGTCAGATAACTGACATCTAATTAAAACAATAAAACTAATTGTTAAATAAAAGGATACTTTTTTTTTTTCCCCAGAGGAACTTTGTGTACAGAGTTAAGTCACTCAGGACAGTCATACACAACCTCAAATGAAAGGACTACTAGGATAAAGTAACTGATTAGAGAACATGAAAGTTGAAAGAAAATATTCAGTGGTTCAAAATTGCTAAAATAACTTTTACTGTGCATACAAATGCACATCTGAATAAATGATAAAGTATACAAAACGCTAGCGGGTTTTGTGCCGAATTCTGTGACCATAGTAGGTGCTTTATTGAGCTAATGCTAATCCTAACCTTATACCTTGACAAAGGCTACTTGTTGTGCCGAAACGTTGGTAATAAAATGTGCTCAAGAGAGTGTGCAGTTATTTTTTCCCTTTAACTTGCAGCTCATAAGGTGTGCGTTTGCTTTGCTGTTCTTTTGAGAACCCTAACCCCACTGCCACAACATTATGTTTAAGGTCACATAATTCGCCGCTATAAGACGGCTCCAGGAGAGAGTGAGACAGACAAACAAACATATGTATCATATCATACAAGGTTTAAAATATTTAAATAGAAATAGAAGTAAAAAAAAAAAGTATGATTCAGTATCAGTTGATATTACTCTTGTCAAGAGATGCACAGAGCTGCACCGTGCTGCACTCATTTCATTCATAGAGTTTACACTCATTCATGAATATATACAAGTTCAAAATGTTTAAATAGAAATATCAAATAATAGACCTTCATTCACTTCACAGACTCATTATTGTGTAGTGAATTTTGGAAGCCATTATCCATGTTTTTCAGACTAAGATATTCGTTTTTTTTTTAAATGGCTTCCTAAATGTTGATTATTAATGATTTAATAATTGCCGATTCAAGTACACAAAATAAATAAATAATACATTTATAAATATATACACAGAATAAATAAATTAATAAACAAAATAATTAAAATTAATAACTAATTGGATTTGGACAAGAATATATCCTGAAAATTGCAAATTCATTGGAAATAATAATGGCCTGTAATCTAAGAGAAGACTGTGATGTCATTAGTGATATCACTCACCAGAGGGGACGTAGTTCTCAGCCAGTTCTCGGTCTTTCTCAATGAAGAGGGCCGTAGCAAGGAAGAAAGCTCCGCCCCCCACAGCCACGAAGGAGCACAGCAGGAGTGACATCTGAAGTGAACGAAACTCCCACATGTATGAGTCCGACTCCTTTATCGAGTCTGACACCTTAATAGGGGAAAAACAGACCACATGCAACCTCAAATGTCTTTCTAACAGAACTTTTCTGTGCATTTGTGAGATTGACGTACCACTCCTATGAGGTAAGGGCTAATAGCGTCGCCCAGCAAGTGCGAGAGTACAATCTGAAACGCTTCTGCGGTGGAGCGACGTGTAGGGATCACAACATACTGAAAGAAAGAGAGAGAAATAAGGACATCAAGAAAGAGTCCTTATGTTATTCCACACATATTTCAAGGAAAATAATAGTTATTAATGGGGCAATAAAAGTTTACATCTTGATTTTTTGTTGTTGTATTTTTAGCATTTTAATCATGTTTTTTTTTTTATATATATATAATGAAATAATTTTAAGTCCTTCTGTGGTTCCACTACTTTATAAGACTTTGAATATAGTGTGCCAGTGATATTAACTACATTTATGGTGCCTTTTTTGTCATTTTGATTTTTAAAAGTTTGAATTCATTGAATGGCAATAACTGATTAAGTCTAATTTGGGGTTTCATACAAAAAAACAACAACTAGTATACAAGTTTGCAAAGACATGAGGGTGAATAATGAAATAAAACCATCTTTTCATTATTTTTCAGAATTGATAGTGGATTAAATGGGAGGAAGGGAAACTCACCAGTAGGATATCTGCAACAATGGCCCAATTCATAGACAGGAATGTCTCACCCAGGAAAATAAAGACCTGATGAGAAAATAAAATAGTCAACCACCATTATGGTCAGCATAAAACTGCCCTAGATACAACAACAGCACTGAAGTCAATAAAAAACATTTCCTGGAACAAAAAAAAAAAGAGAAGCTTTCAGATAAAACCAGGTCAAAGGAGAGGTCAGATGAGTGACTTACATAAGTGGCTGCAGTGCTAGCCTGGGCAAACATGATGGACAGATAGAGAAAGGGAGCAGAGAGGAGGAGTCCTGCAGCACAGACTAGTGGATCAGCTCGAGGGGTTCTCGTCCTCAGCTTCTTGCTGGCTTGCACTCCACTCGCTACGCCCAGGATGCCCGACACAACTGTGATGCCGCCAAATATCAGACTGCAGAGCAGAAGAGATTAGAAGAACATTGCCAGTGCATGTTCTTAACAGAAGTATATTTACAATACAGCATGTGCAAACGCAGTACTCTAAATGGTAACGTCATAACAGTACCATAATAGTACAAAGACATTAAAAAAACAAAACAAAAGTCGGTGCAAATGTCATAGAGAGAGATGTTTGTGTGTATGAGGGTCTGGTACCTGTCAGAGTTGTCACAGGGGATTTTTAAACACGGCTGCTTCTCTCCTATGAAGACGCCTGCTCTGAATAAAAAGGCAGGGGCCCACAGGGCCAGTGATCCTGTCACAAAGGCCACAGCAGTGAAGCCAAACGTGGACAAAATAAAACTTGGACTGAGACAATAACAAAAAAACAAAAACAAAAATCAAGAGGGAAATGGGAAAAGGTATTTAGTTCAGCAAAGAAACAAGCAGTCACTGTGTAACTGAAATATAAAAAAAAAATGTTTCTGCGTTTTTTTTGTACGCACAATGAAAGTCAATGGGGTCCAATGTTGTTTTGGGCCCCACTGAATTTCAGGCTATTGGTAAAAAAATGGAAACATTCTTAAAAACATGCATTTCTAACAACGGCAGTCACTGCATTGGCTCCCTATTAAACATCGTATACATTTTAAAATATTGTTGATTACTTACAAAGCACTAAATGGTTTAGCTCCGCAGTACTTGAGCGAGCTCTTAACGCATTATAGTCCTTCACGTCTATTGCGATCTCAAAATTCCGGCCAGTTGATAATACCTAGAATATCAAAATCGACTGCTGGCGGTAGATCTTTTCCTGTTTAGCACTTTGGAACAGTCTTCCTACCATTGTCCGGGAAGCAGACACACTCTGTCAGTTCAAAGCTAGACTAAAAACACATCTCTTTGACCTAGCAAACACATAATACATTATAGACTTCTATAATTCAATGTTAGGCTGCATAGATTAGGTCAGCCGGAACTGGGAACACTTCCCTTAAATCCAGATGTACTCGTTACATCATAAGAAGAATGGCATCTACGCTAACTTTAGTGTCTTTGTTTATCCCGAGGTTTTCCCGCAGCCTGCCGGATCCAGGCCGTATCCAGATCTGACGAAGGAGCTTCGCCTGGACCCGATGACAATGCAGTGCTGAAGTGTCAACTATCCTCTCCCTATGGAGGATCCCTTTCCCACTCTACAGATAAAGCGTTGTTGAAAATCCGGTTCACGAACCCCGAAGTGATAAAATAAAACAAAATTCTTTATCTAATGTATAGGCAAGACAAGTAGTTTGTTTAGGCGTGGTTTGTAGGGAAATTACAAACCTGCGCACATATATTCAAACGAATATAACTATAGAATCAATTCTTAATGCGCATGTGAACGCCATCAGGTCACAGGTTCGCGTTTAAAGTCTGTTTAGAGAGAACGCCGTCGTCTTAGTGGCCCCTAATTTGATAACAAATGATAATTCAAAAATGTTACCGTAAATTGTATGTTTATCTCTGTAAAGCTGCTTTGAAACAATCTACATTGTGTAAAAGCGCTATATAAATGAAGATGACTAGACTTGACTTGACCGAGAGCAATACTTAAGCTACAGCTTTATGATAAAAATTACCCTGAAATTTGCTAAAAATTGCTTGTGATTGCTCACGATTAGATATCTTAGCTGCAGTGGTATCAGCAGTAATTACTTTATAGCTGAGGAAAAAACCCTCAGTCAGGTCAAGCAGCATTATCAGATATTGAAAAATTCCCTGCGTGACATCTAAGGCAAAGGCCATGACTTATAAATGATGCTTTAAAGGCAACATGAGCTCTCAGTGACTCACTTCCTGCAGAGTGCTTTCATGTCCACAAGCCAACTGGTTCTGTGCAGCGTGTGCTCCGGGCGAGCTTCGATAGCACCGCGCTTCGGTTCCTGAACCACAAACAACAAGAGGATCACGGCCAACAGCCCCAGACCAGGGGTCACCTAAGAAAGTGAAACAAACAAATAAAAGCAAACAAAAAAAAAGGGAAATGAGAGTAAGTGGGAGAAAATTACAAAGAATTGTTATCATATTTTATCTCCAAGTGTGATTTTGTGGTGAAAGCAGCGTGTATTATGCAATCCACCCATAGACAGATAAACAGTGAAAGGTTTGGTGCTGCAGACATACCCGAAGAGCCCAGTGCCAATCCCCAGCCATTTCATCCACTTTTGAGCCCACAATATAACCCAGACCACTGAGAAAAGAAAAGCCAGAAGATTTGAATGAGAATTGGGATGAAGTCTGGTCCACACTGCAGCTTATGCTGGCAGGGAAATGCCCATTAATTATCCTCACAACATTTAAAGTCCCTGTAAAGTCAAAATTTTGTATGTGTTCTGAGTTTGTCACACCACAGAAAAATGTGTTATTAGTCACCCTGCCAAATTTGAATGATAAAAAAAGCCAGCAAGTACATAAAATAAGCTTTCAAAATCTTGAAAAAATGAGCAGTATTCTCTGCTCTCAAACGCTGGGGGCGTGTCCGCTGGCTGCGCTGAAACCACGCCCACTCGCGGGAAAGCTGCCGTCACCACACTCAACTCTACAGCCGGAATAGATGCTCGCACGGTCGGCACGCACTGCCGATGATGGCACCAGTTGTCGGCGCGACGGGAGGATGAATGCCGAGGCGGAAGATAGTCGGTTCGGCCCAATTCACCAGTAACAACGGATTATCAGTAAATCCCAGTTGTCTCCGAACTATCCCGTGTAAAATGATCACTTACAGAGGCGGGTTTTGGCAGTGATCCTCAGCTCTCCATCAAGGTTGGCTCTTCACAAAATTAATCCACTTCTTTTTGATGTAATCGTTTTTCGGAAATTTAAATAAGGACACCGATCTGTTTTGTATGTGATCCGGTGATTGCATCCAGGTAGTAGGCCTACGCTTTTCTGTGACGAAGGCATAGCTAGCTAGCAAACTGTAGGCTGCTGTAGTAACTAATAGTACTGACCGTAACTCACGATTGAGCGGCAAAACTGATGTGAATGTGCTCTATATTGTTAAGGGAGCGGACAGCCTCAGTGGCTCCAGTGCGTCATCAAGTAGGGGCGTGTCTAGGAGCTCAGGGGCTCCAGTGCGTCAGAGCCCTGTTTTAGCCCCGGCCAAAAAATCCGTAAAATATGAATGGTGAAAAACTGTTTAACCCTTGTGTTCTGTTCGATTTCTGTGTACTCCCTTTATGGACCGGGTCAAATTGACCCTAATTGGATTCAATACAATTCCTCAAAAATCACACTATATATAAAACAACAAAGATTTAGATACAAACTGTAAACTTTTAATATCAGCATTTGTCAAACATTACAAAAACATTATATCTGAAAATATGATTTATGAAAATGTTTTTAAAACAGTTTTGTTTTGACAAAATTGGAAAATAAACAGTATACTGATTTTTTTTTGCATATATTTTTTTCCCTTTTTTTTTTTTACATTTTATGCTTTGAACATCATAACTGAACGAGAAAAAAAAATGCTGTATAATGAAAATTTTTCATTTTCCTAAGTTAACTTTCCCTAGTTTCCTAAGACCTTTTGTCCTAGTTTCATTATTCACTCACAGGGAAGTGAGAAACCAAACATAACAAAATCATACATCAAATAAATGTTTTTTATTTATTTTTTGGCTCTGTGAAGCTGCCTTTGAAAATCCTACATAAAAGTTTTGGTTAAAAGCTAGGTATTTTAGATATTTTGAATATTGAAATGAGAGCTTATTTTACTATCTGTGTCTGACAAAGATTTTCATCTGTAATTTGCAAATAATTCTGAACACTGTAATTTTATCTTTTTCAAGTGTGTTTGGTTAGGGTTAGAGCACTTTTAGATGCACTTGCACGTTAGAACTGGAGTTGAAGTGCTCTGACATACAGAAAATAAATGTTTTTATTTTGTGTCTGTACAGTTGCTTTTGAATGGCTGTCTATGAGGGTCAAATTGACCCGCGAACATCACAAACGTAACAGTAATTTTGTTTGTATATGTCGAAACACATCAGCATGTTGAAACTTTGCATGCATGTTCATCATGACAAATGAGAAAAAGTCACAAAATATCAAGAAAAAAAACAAAGGTTAACCAGTATTTCCAACAACTTGAAAATCGAAACGGGTCAAATTGACCCGCAACATAACACAAGGGTTAACGGTCTAACTCCACAATTCAGTACTTCACAGTTCACAGTCTTTGTAATATGTTTTAGCAATACATTTCTAACATTTATAATGTGTTTAGAATTTTTTTTTTTAATTGCCTTTACAGGGACTTTAACAAATCCAGTGACTCATTTGCCCTTAGAAGTGCTCAACTGTAGCAGCCTGGAAACTTACAAATGCAACTTAATTTCCTGGTGTGAAATAAAACTGATAATGCAACTGTATGTGACAGAGTGTGAGAATGCAACCATGCGGAGAATGTGCATAGAGCAGGGCTCTAGAGTGCGACCAATTTGGTCGCATATGCGACCAAAATTTGTAAGAGTGCGACAAGAATTTTTTCTAGGTCGCACCAGTGCACCTAACGTTCTCACATGATCGCATCCGCTGCCTCTCCACAAACGAGTCTTTTGTTCTCCTTGCACGCATGGTTGGATCATATCGTGGTCTAAACCAATCAGAGATAGAGATTGGGCGGGCCTTTGCCTCTGATTGGCTGTGGTTTAGATATTCCTGTAGGACTAAAATGCTCCGTGCTGGCTGTGTGATTGAAATAAATTGCGACCTGTCACCTGAGCATCAGAGAATCAGCTAAATAAACGCAGGAAAACAGACGACGAAGAAACTTTTAAAAATGTAGGCTACTTGAACTAGGTAAAAAATATCGATTTCTCGATTTTAATCGATTCTCATTGATTTTTACGAACCGTTGGGCTATGCTGTTTTCAGTTGATGAATGAATGGAACATTGTAGTGCGCATCCCATCCAATAAATCACAATAATCTTTGTGCTTTGTTACTATTGATATGAAACAAAGTCTCAGATTTCAAATTAGGTCCATTTTCTTACGGAATTCAAAAACATGTTTTGGCGCTATGGCGTGAGATCGCTCAGCTCAGCTCAAGAGAAGCAGCAGCACGGAGCGCACATGATCTCCTCTTCTGCCTTAATAATACCAGTTACAGCACGAAATAAACATGAAGGAGCATCTGAAAGTGTGTTAAAAGATAGAGTACAACTTATCAAAATCCATATCTTTCGCATGGAATCGCTCAATCAGTGTTTCAACCGTGGAAAGACGTCAGTAAAACAATTGTAAACAATGTAATGTAACGTCACAATTACCTAAAAAAAAAAAACATATCCAGTCAGTGCCCATAAAATGTTAGCTAGCTAGAAAAATGTATAATTTTTAATGTTATAATTTCTATAATCATTATAATTTTTAATGTTTTTCAATATTTAATGCATGTTGTTTGAAAAAAATCTGGCAAGTTTTTATGCAGCCACCATTTAAATGTTAATATTTCATATAACTTTATTATTATAAAAAAAAATAAAAGTGTAATTTAAGTATTTGTGTACAAATCAGGTAATTTTCACCTTCAATATTATAGTAGGCTAATGAAGCATAGTGGGCTACAACTGACTCCCAGTTTACAGCATTAGTTGAGATTTGTTTTTCTTGAGAAAATTTGCCATGTATTATACCTGATATCCAAAATAATCAATATTGAATCGAATTGTGAAATTTGTGTCAATACCCTGCCCTAACTTGAACAATGTAAAAACAGCACTTTAATTTTTTTTTTTTTTTTAAGATTTATATTTTTATATACAGTATAATTGTGCTTAAAAAAAAACACAAAAAAAACCCTACACCTTATTCTTGTTTAAAAGCATTTAACATAATATATATGAATATATGGAGCGTGATAAAAAGGTGACCTTGAAATTGTGGCGTTAAAGGTGACGCGAGACGAGGAAAAATTTGAGTGCACCTAAGTTTTGTGCTGGTGCACCTAAATAAAAAAGTTAGGCGCACCAGTGCAACCAAGGCAAAAAGTTAGTCTGGACCCCTGTAGAGCTAAAGTGTGAATAACCTAAATACCAGTTTTTTGACTGGCAGTTCTCTCTCTCTCTGTGTGTGTGTGTGTGTGTGTGTGTGTGTGTGTGTGTGTGTGTGTGTGTGTGGTCCCACCTTCCCACTGGGATTGCAAAGTAGAACAAGGACAGCATGTTGGTCCTCTTCTCTTTGACAAACAGATCAGCGATGATGGTGGGAGCAATGGTGGAGTAACTGGCCTCTCCAACACCCACTAGCCCTCGAGTCAACAACAACGCCCAGAAATGCTGAGAGAGGATTTATTCTATTAGTTTACTCTACAAATCACACTTTAAAACATAAATACACTTCAGTATATGAGACACCGAATCAGAGACTGAAAGCTATTGCTTTGTCTTTGAGTAAAATGGTATTCAAATATAAGAGTGAGGTTTAACCCTTAGGCATCTGGAAAGCCTAAAATGTTTTGTGTAGGACTTACTTCTTTGTCAATGAAGGAGCTGGCAAGTGTCACTAGACACCAGAAGAAAATACCAACACTCATGATCAACTTCCTGTTGTACCTGTCACCCAGGTATCCAAACACAGGAGCCAAGAACATGTAGCTGCAGATGAAGACTTAAGGGCAATAAAGAATCGAACAAAGTGAATGAACAATTGAATAATTAAATAATTAATAATAAAACGAATTTTACATGGTATGAATCTGCTCACCTGTCTGAAGTAGCCCTGATTTTCCATCACTAATGCCGAAGAAACGCTCAATGTCTGGAAGTACACCTGAAAGAGAGGAAGTTTATTGTTATCACAGCTTTAATACTTACCAATTAATATGCTGTTGCACATTATATGTTTTTAAATCTTTCTAGAGTTATTTACAAATCAAACATTGGCAACCAACAAGAAATCTCCTTTTGCTCTACTTTTGCTATTTTATTACTATTACTTAACCTCAAAAGAGCAGTGTTGTTATTGTTAACTAAAACTATTAAAATCATTTTCATTTATGGAAATAAAGCTAAAACAAAATAATCATGTAATAATGTAAATACAGTGATGAAGAAAGGGAGAAAAGTTGCAATAAAAAAACTTACACTATTGGCATTTAATTACATGTGTGCACGATTATTTTGATCAATAATATATGAACGTTTGATTAATACAGTAATTAAGAATATTCTGCATATCAATAAATGAAAATTAGTTCCCCAAACCTAAACAACTTATTTGCACGACTGCAAACGAATATTAGATGATCAACTTAAACTTAAAACGAAAATAAGAAATGTTGCCAAGGCAAATAGCTTTAACTTTAAGTATTAAAATGACTAAAACTGAAATAAAAATAAATTAAAACTAAACAGAAATATTAACAAAATGCCACAATTACTTAACGAAATGGCTAAAACTTAAATTAAAATAAAATCTAATTCGAAAACTGTATAAATACTATAATAGTTTATAAAAAATACTAAAATAACACTGCATTAGAAACAACACATAAAAAACGGAATATGAATTTTCAGAATTAGTGATGTGATTTACAAGTGATTCAAAAAGAACAATCCAGACTAGAATAATCTTATACCATGAACATAAAGCACATTATCATGCCGTTTATGGGTATTGGTGATTTGTGTCTTTGTCTTGTGCATTTGATCTGGATGAAAAGGAGGCCAGCATTGTCTGGCAGCACTGATGAGCTGAAATCTAACAGCACTGGTTACCTGCCACAGTGAATCTGTCCATATAGTTCAGCAGGTTGATGTAGCAGAGTACAATCACAGTCAATGTAGCTCTCTTATCAGACACTCCACTGGCAGGCTCCTCCTCCTCGGGCTGAGGTGAACCCACCCCATTTTCAGCCGGCACCTCCTCCTCATTATAATCTGAGAAGAAGGGTGTGGTGTCCGCAACATCTGTCCGTGACATCACTGCTGGAGAAAAAATACATGTATAAAGATGACAAAAAGTTAAAGTGCCAGTACAAATCAAAGTCTTGGCAATAATACTGCATAAATACAAATAAAAAAAACTTCCTTAGAACATGGATGGTTTGGTCTACCACAATCACATCCTAACGGGAAGTAAAACCATTGACATTAGCCTACAGTGTTAAATGCTCAAGAGCAAAAAAAGACCAAAGTCTACTACCGATTACACACAAAGATTATTGATCACATTCTAATCTCAACCTCAACATGAGAATGATGAAAATGCTTATAATTTGTATTTAAAAAAAAAAAAAAAAAGCTTTTCCATAAATTATATTAGCAAAAATATGTGAATGAAAAGTTGCTGTGACATTAAAATAGCGTATTTGATAAGTGACCATAAATGGTACAAATCTTTTTTTTTTTCATTGTCTGAAAATTTGTATTACCTTATTGTATTACAAAATTCCATAATGATTTATTTCAGGGTTTAAATTACATTTTAAACCAAGTTTTTAAACGTGGACTTAAACTTTTGATCCCCACTGTTACTTTTGTGTGAGATAATCCATTTAAAATATAGACAACAAGCAAGACAAGGATGAATACTGAAAGAGCTCTTTGTTTAAAGCCCTAAAGCCATTTTACTAGAATAGATTCCACTGGGACAGAAGTCATCATGATTTATATTTATAATCTAGTTTGTCAGGAGTGTAGTTTAGATGTATTAGGAAGACACATGGAGAGGGAAGTAGGCACAAGCTCGTGATGCAAATTAATCTCACCACAATGTCATGTGAGTGAATACAATGATGAGAAGAAAAAAAACGCTGCAAGAAAACTGTATGGGCATAGAAAGATTTTCATTAGTGCACGATTTTGATAAATAATATATGAACAATAATATATGTTTAGGTTTGTTTAAAACAGTAAATAGATTAAAATCAGTGCCCAAAGCTAAATAATTTATGTGGGATAACGTGTCAGAAGAATCTTTATCTACTTTCAGCAGATTGTCAGCTGAATCAAAGTAAAACTGGACCGTTTTTTTTTGCTGACTGATGATATCTGATGCCTGGTGTTGACCAATACTAGTCTATGTACAGACATGATGATGATTAAGCAACATAGTCCAATAACAGCAGCAAAAACACACACAAAGCGCGGTATTTCATGTGGTTATTTTGGAAAAGGCACAGAAAACGGTTTATTCGTTAAAAAACACAACATTGGAAAAGCAAAACATTCAATTACAAAAATAAGGAACAACCTTTCATTTAACATTGTTGACAGACACAAGTAAATCAAAAAACATATATAAAAGAGCGATATAAACTGTCTCCCATCTGATCTATCCGAGACTGTTTACTGATCGGTATACAGTGTTGTTTACCTGGAAAATGCAAAGCGACGTCAGAGGTGTCTTCAAAGTTCTTCTTCTGGACGCTGCCGGGCTCCCTCTGGCTTGTAGTGACGTTTCAGGATCTTTACCTTATCTCCTGTGTGAACATTTTTGAATTGCAGTGGAGAGTCTCGAAGCGAACTGCGTGCAGCTGACCGACTAACAGTTCAGTTTCTGATCCACAAGCTCAGTGCGACGCCATGTTGGAATGACGCAGTACTTCCGCTGCACAGTCATGTGAGCGCTCCCCCCCCGACAGCTGCTGCCAAAACGTCATTTTCACCCTCACTCACTGCACTATTTTGAAAAGATTAAAAATAAATACGATTTAAAACCCTAAGTGATAAGGATATTCTGATGTGTGCACGTAACTAGCACTTTAATTCATTTTATGTATTTGTAATTCTGTGACTGTGAATTAATGATGGTACGGCATCTTTAAAAAAAAATTTTTTGTTTAAACCTTTTCTTCCGCTCTTTATGCAATTTACTTTTAAGACAAAAGATGTAAACAAAATCACTAGTGAATCTGAGTATTTCGGTAGTCTCTACTTTTTGTGCTGATGAATGCTGGTGCTTTATCATCACAAACTAATGTAAAGCAGCTGATCAATGACCCGAGATAACATTGGTTTACATAAATGTGTGAAGCTAATATTTGCTGCATTTAATATAGGTTGTTGCTGGGTCAGAAAAGTCTCTGTAAAGTGACAAAATACCCAACATATCAGGGTATTGATTGAATTGTTAATTCCTAAATTTACTCATCAAATAATTGATATATTCCTTAACTCAGAGGCGAATGTTGGCCTACTTACAGCTACTTTTGCATTTGATTTTTATAGGTAACATCTATAATTGTTCGTCGATAATTTCTTTCAAATGATTAATTCAATTTAATTATTTAACATAAATGAGTGCGATATTGTTTTATAATTTTTTTATCTAGATTTTAATAGTATGCTCTCATAAAAGGAAAATGCCCCTAAAAGCCAATTCTAGTGACACAAGTACTGCATACAAAAAAACATCTTACAAATTTGTCATTTTATTATATTCCATTCAATAATTATTTTTTTATCAAAAAATTCAATTTTAAATAAATCTGGTGTATATACACAATGTAAAACGGATTTTATATTGTTTTTGCATGTCCTCAAACATAAGTCAAATGTAAGTCAATCTTGTCTGTGGTCTGTTTTTCAGCACAAGTGATAAAGGTCTAAACCAGGGGTAGGCAACGTCGGTCCTGGAGAGCCACTGTCCTGCAGAGTTTAGCTCCAACCCTTATCAAACACACCTGAACCAGCTAGTCAATAAGGCTATAGGCAGGTGAGTTTTTTCAGGGTCGGAGCTAAACTCTGCAGGACAGTGGCTCTCCAGGACCGACGTTGCCTACCCCTGGTTTAAACAAATGTCAGACATCCTTTACAAATCCTTTTCTTCCTCCTTGCATACAGAACATGGTGTTGAAAAAGTACAGAACTCCCAACAACATCAATAGTGTCCGTCGTTCAGACCCAGACTTCAATGACGTCACCGTCCTCCATGTCCAGGTCAGCTGGAGTCTGATCATGTGTGACCCTTGACCCATCAAAGAGAAATTTAGCCCTCCGTCTAGCACTGGCAGCCATACCAGAGACATACTGAGACAGGATGGACCCTAGAGGAGCATTCTTAATAAAAAATAAAAAAAGTACAATGACAATTGAGCACTAAATGTCCTTCACAAAAACACAAGTTGCACAAAGGCACAAGAAGAACATCCAAAAAGACATACAGTACAGACCTTTTGTAAGGAATACTCCTGCACAGACGCTTTCTCTTTGCCTTGCAGTCGCAAAGTAATAAGATTACGTTTGTCCCTCACTTCTTGTTTATTCTCTGTTACTACACAATCTGGAAGAGACAGAAGGTACAAAAAGGATTTGCATGAAGGTTTCAGGAAGTGTCATTTATAGAATGTTTCCAATTAAAAAGATCCATTCAAAAACAATGGAATAAATGCACTGTGATGCATGCTAACGAATTCAGCTCAAAATTCCCACTGTTTTCTATTACCTATAATGTCAGCTATGCCGAGACCCAGCTCACTGACAGATGAGTGAATAGGGAGATCTATATCTTTCTTTAATAACAGAATTTGGCTGCTTGTGACATTGAGTTTGATGGCCAGCTGTTCCACAGCTTTACTCAAAGGAGCCGTCTGCAATCGAAAGACACATTTATTTAATGACAGTCCAAGTCAAATTTAAAAACATTCATTTGCCAGCTTAAATAAAAAGGTAAATGTATTCATATACATTTTTTTTATACCAAACAAATGTGCCTTAAAAAACGCGTTTATTCCACTTACAGAGAGTATTGGGATTTTGTACAACTCTGTTCGGCAGCGGAATTTTAGTGAAATTTCTCGCGCAGAGTCTCTGCCCTCAGTATTCAGGGGACGTCTTTTCTGTTTGCTGTCAGAAGAAATGATGATGATGTCATCATCATCATCATAGTCATTCACAGGAGATGGAGAGTTTCTGTATTCAATGACAGGTTCTCGAGGCTCAGGGGACAGACACACAAGGGAGCCGATCGCATCCAGTTTCCTGTTGATTTCTCTGGGACCGAGATGGAGAAAGAGAACAAGAGAATGTCAAACCTCTCTGGCCTTACTAGCGGTTCATTTCATTACTTCTAATATAGTTATCCATTTCTGTATCCTCCTTGAAAGGTAATTATTGAGTGTCATGACAGAATTAAAACACTACATTTTGCATAAGAAAAGAACATCACGCTAAAAGAGAGATCAGGACAAGTATGTATTTTTCTTCACTGATGATGTCACTCACCGTATTTTTTGGTTTGCTCGTCTGCTCTGTTTCACTGGTGGACTACATGGTGGTGGGGGTGGAGAGGGAGAACGAAGAATTTCTCTAAAGGTAAGGAAGGTGATGGTTAGATGAAAGGACACAGCCTTGAGTAGGCTAATCAATCAGCTGATTAACTGGCCTGGCTATAGGTGCGTTCACCCCATGTGGTAATAATTACTGTAATTACGAGTTTCCAACATGTAAGACGCATTTACGTCCTCATAGAACTCGTAATTATAACCTGGGAATTATCGGAGAGCTCCAACTTGTACCATGTGACCGCTGCATTCATTTAGGCGTTATATGTTGTATATACACATTTATTTATTAGGCGTTTGCCATAGAAAGGCATAATTCCGATTCCATGAACAGCTCAAAGTAAAAAGTCCCATGTTGTCATCTCGAAATAACGGTAATTACGTCATGGCATTCATTTGGATTTCAAGATGCTATTTTTGAGGCAGCTGTCACAAAAACAAATAACATTTATTTGTGCATGCATAATGACTCACTTTTTATATGCCAAGAGAAACTTAACTAAAGACACTACACTAAAGTCAGTCTGTGTACTTACTGAGCTTCACTCTGTTCTGGCTCCTCCTCTGAGCCACTCAGATCAATGCTGATTGGCCGTTTCACTGCACGGGGTGGGGAAGGAGACCAAAGAGGGCCACCCTTTTCCTCATCTGGTATGGTAAATAAAAACAGCGAGGATGCCATTGGATTAATCCTACTAACAAAATGATAAATATCTATAATAAAGATTATACAAGTAATGAGAAACCTTCACTCACAGGAAGCAAATATAAGGCAAGATATACACGACCATTCAAGAGTTTGGGGTTGGTACAATTATTTTTATGTTTTTGAAAGCAGTCTCTTATGATCATGATCTTATGAACACCGCATTTATTCAAACAAAAAATACAGTTAAACAGTAATATTGTGATTGTGAAATATTATTACAATTTAAAATAACTGTTTTTTTATTTTAATATATTTTAAAATGTAATTTATTCCTGTGATACAAAGCTGAATTTTCAGCATCATTACTCCAGTCTTCAGTGTCACATGATCATTCAGAAATCATTCTAATATGATGATTTGCTGCTCAAGAAACATTTCTTTCAATATCATTGCTGAAAACAGTTGTGCTGCTTGATTTGTAAAAAAAAAAAAAAAGGAAAAGAGTGATACTTTTTTTCAGGATTTTTTGATTCATAAAAAGTTCAAAAGCACTCACCCCCCAAAAAATGTATCGTTAGTGTATAAAATGTGATTTACTCAGAGGTAACAGTGGTCCAAAAGTTTTGATACCTGTGAGACTGGTGTTTTTGAAGGTTATTGGCTTCAGGTTTAAGGAGCTGTTAACCTAAAACACAATAATATAACATCTGAATCACTTTTGTTTGCCCCTTGCAATCCATTCCAATGCATCTAGATAAGTCATATTTTAAAACGTGGTAAAGGTCATCAACTATATTTTTCAAGCCATCAATGACTTTGATGTTAAGCAGTCAAGATACACCCACCTTGTTGGAGTAAACAGGCACGTTTGTGATGGACGAGGCGTCGATGATGCGTCGGCGTTTGGGAGGATGTTGCTTTGAAGGGTCTGACTCTGAAATGGAAACACTCTTATCCCCGACACTGTCTGATACCTGGAATAGACAGAACAAGACAACATATTTCCCATTTTGGGTTTCAATAGGAGTTATAACAGTAAAAATAGATTTAGGTAACTGTTACTGTCTAATCGTAACAAGCGAAATAACAAACTGGTTTGTTTTGCACTGACTTGAGTAACAGCTACAGTCGAAACTGTTCGGTAAACCGGATAAAACAATGTTTACATGACCAAATCATTATTAATAACTCCAAATGAGGCTGATTTAAGTTATGGGTTTTGAATGTAAACATAACCGTATGAAAATCTGAAACCACCAGTGCTATATAATGTTGTTGTAACTTCTCTGAGTACAGCAAACTTGAGGCTAAAACTTAACCATTTACTTGAATAAAACCTTTGAAAGTGGTTTACATTTTCTATGTTGTTGTTGTTGGACATTAATCAATATGACAACTGATTAGCCAGCGGTGCTATTGCACAACACGACGGGCAGTTAACGTTATAGATTACATATTCAGATAGTTTTCTGACAAGAACTCTTCAAACGTCGTGTCCATGTAACATGTACAGAGTAGCAGTAACTCTTTAAACTTAATCCTGAATAAATGTTATACAAAAGATCTTACCATTTCAGCCATAGTCCGCTTCTGCGCGCTCATTCCCGTGCGCGCACTAGGCGAGTCGGCGTGACGTCACAGAACAAAGCCTGGGTTACTAACTGCGTACTTTACTCCATTGAGAAGTCTTCACTCTCACCCATTTAAACGCTTGATTCTTTTATTAATGTGAATATTAAAATTTTTGTAAGATAAGGTGATTTATTTATTTATTTTGAGACGGAAATTACTTAATTACAATAACAGCTTCATTCTATAATACAATACTAGAAGTATTGAATTATAGAATGAAGATACTAGAGAAAAGGTCTACTCTAGAAGGAGGGGTGTAATGTTCATTTTCAAAAACTGTAATGCACCACAAGAACAAGGATGTAACTCAATATTCAACATTAATGAAAAACGTTAATGTATAATGTGTGGACCTGTATGTGGTGTTATAGCCCTTTTCAATATCTATTTTTAAAATTTAAAAACATGTATCACTCTGCCTTTATAAATTACAGACAATAGATTTTGTGTGCCTTTCATTCACATGTAAAGGGTTTATTACTTTTAGCACAATTCACTTCCAGTTGGTCTCTTTGTATCCAGATCCACAAAAAAACATAATACAAAAGATGCAGTAGAAAATATACCAACACTATATACATGGTAACAGAAAAAGGAGAGAAAAGCACATAAAAACAGAATTGATGCTCAATATCCTGTTTTCAATCACAACAATCATGCAGGGTCTTTTTGCAAATAATGTCCCATTGTTTTATATTTCTGTCACTTCTTTTTGTTCTCTTTGCAGGCCACTACATATCTCTGAGCAACGTTGAGAGGTGGAGAATAGCCATCTGCATAAGATGTATCCTCAAACAGCACGGAGTAGTCATCCTGGGGCTGGAAAAGAAGTGAGACGTGTCATGTCGTATGGAATCTATTCTTCTTCTACTCATACACAGTGATGCCATAATACCCATAATAAAGTTAAGAAATATTCTAAGAGACTATCAACATTAATCCCATGAGGGTTTAGAGAAGCATCTTTAGAAATCGTGATAACATCTCAGTTACTCTTTTAACTCTTTTCATTCTTGTTCCGCTCACCCGATGTGGCGGCGTGTGGATCAGAGCTCTGTAAAAGCAAGTGGTCTGTGGATAGAGGGCCAGCACCAGCTGATCTTTACTGAACAGGGCTTCCGGGTCGGACTCTGGGTTTGCTTTCCACTGTGGGAGAGGAATGATTCTTCTCCGACTCAACGTGTGTCTCCTAAATAAAAGAGAAAATGAGACAGGGAAAAAAAGAGGAACAACGAACAGGTCATAGTTTGTTTTAAAGCACTCCTGGAATTACACTACAGTTCAAACGTTTGAGGTCAGTTTAATTTTTTTTATGTTTTTTGAAAGGCGGCTGCATTTATTTGATCAAAAATACAGTAAAACAGTAATATTGTGAAATATTATTACAATTTAAACATATCTATATATTTGAATGAATTTTCAGCATTATTACTCTAGTGTTCAGTGTCACATGATCCTTCAGAATATCATTCTTATTATTTGCTGCTCAAGAAACATTTATTATTATTATTATCCAAGTTGTGCAGCTTTTTTTGTGAACGCCATTATAAAAAATTTAGGATTCTTAGATTAATAGAAAGCTCAAAACAACATAATTTATAGGAAATAGCAATCTTTCTTAACGTTATAAATGTCTTTGCTGTAACTTTTGATACATTTAATGTGTCCTTGCTGATTAAAAGCAAAACTTTTGAACAGTAATGTATCAATTTAGATGTGGGTGAATATTATTAAAAAATGGCATTGTACTTACTCTTTACCCTCTTCATCAATGTCATCCACTTCATACCTGATAAAAGATAACATCATGATGCTACATTATCATTTCACACCATCAGGTTTTAAAGCTACAAGTGAATATAAATAAACAGATCAACTGGAGATCAACTGGTAGATGATTACTTGTTAGTGGAGTGATTGTAGCTGACGACCTCTGCAAGAATCCACTGTTCATCACCATCCACAGCCTTCACACGTGCCGCCACCTTGTCCCCCTGCTTAGCCACATAGTCACTGCTTGCTGGTATAGCGCCACACAGTGGTGGTGGACTGAAGGGGAAAGACAGGTATGAATTAGTGAAATGTAACAATCATTTTGACTCAATATTCACTGAATAAATGACCATTTCTAAAACGAAGGGAACATAAGAGATAAACCAGGAGACACTGAATGGTACCTCTCGCCAGGTTTGCCAATCCAAAGAGGAAGGGTCATGGCTGACTGTTGTAACAAGGTCATCAGGACACCTCTGCGCATGGTCTTCCTGGGTGGGTCGGTGTCACTGTACACTCCTGCCATCCTGGCAGCTGCAGAAAGAGAAGGGGTCGATTAGCTTCCACAAGTGTTCAAATGCACGCAGATGCACAAGTTTACAAACTAACATCCAAAACTTACCAATCCGTCTTTCCTCCAAAAGAGATTTAATTTCAGCAATCTTGTCAAGTGCCCGGTGAAGAATACTGTGGGAGGGATGCAGATAAATCTGATCATTTACACCTGACATTAAAAACTTTTTTTTATTTTTTTATAGAACAGTTTATTAAACCTTTAGGGGGAAAAACAAACAAAAAATTGCATTTGTTTTTGTGTGTGTTGAGTTTCATATTTGATACAGCAGGTATGAAATATGAGAATTTGGAATATGAATAATTAAGTAAACCTAAGTTGCTTAAGTTCAGTAAGTGTTCATATTACTAACAATATAATAGTTATTCTTACATATACTTTATTAAAATCAGTAAATATTTCACAGCAACAACAAAAAAGACGTGTCAGTAAAATGCATGTAGCAGATTGTGTACAACAGTTCTTCAGCAAAGCTTTGATCATGTTGATAGTTTAGAGTCTTTAGAAATGTGAGTACCAAATATAAAGTAGGCTAGGCTTATAGGGTTAATAAATGTTCAAAAAAGTCTGTCTTTGCAATCAACACATTTGAAAGCCTTGGGCAAAATTACCACAAGATGGGGCTATATAATCACAAGATGTTAAAGATGTTTCTTATGAAAAGAAAAACAAATAGTCAACACAGAAAAAGATAAAGTCAAGAACAGATCACCTGATAAATCATCTCGTGGTCATTACATATTTCTCACAGTGAAAATGCATACTTTGCATTAAAGTAAAGTGGTGCTGCAAGGGAAACCAAATGCAGCAACAGTCGTTTTCAGCCTCAGCCTTACCCACATTCAGCCTCAGCATCAGCTTTAGCTGTAGTGTAAAGACCCCTCAGCTTTGTCCTATAATATGGAGAAGCTTAGGAGAAAGATAATAACAGTTTTAGTATGGAACAGAAATATCAGACAAGAAATAAAATTCAAATATATAAATATGAGAGAGATCCAGTTTGAAAATAATAACATGCTTTATCGCTTGAAAAAGTTCTGATTGTAGACAATGCAATAGGAAATCATGTCTTACTCTTATTTTCTGTCTGCATCCTTTCATGTGTTTTCTGGATGTTGAGAAGGTTGTGCTCACTTCTTGATCGCTCTTCCTGTGTATTTAAGAGAGATTAGTGTATAAACACTGTGTGAAGGTACGGGGTGTTTCCCGAGGCATATAAACCCAAACTACAGTGATCATGCATGAGAAACAGAGTAGTGCTCACCTGAGTTTGCTTTATAAGCTGATGCAGCTCATTCAACAACTCTGCGATTTTGGTGTCTGCTGAAACTAAAGCCATTGTATCTGCAAGAAAAAAAGTTATTCCAGTTATATAATCTATGCGTTTATGTGTTTTGACCCCATTTAATTATGTTCCACTTTGCAGTTTAAACCTTAAACAGCACCACCGCGCACATACAACAAAGCAAAGATAATGTTGCTATAATGCATTGATTCTAATAATAATGCATTTAGGTTTACGTGATTTTTTATTAATCTAAAATCTACATACATAATAGAGCGCCATGAACTGGATGGATCTCAGATCACACCCTCCGCGCGCACACAGATAAGCAAGAAAAGCGTGAATCTCACCTTCAAACACACAGTTTCGCGATGCTCTCCAGATTCACCTTGTGTATAAGTACACGAACTATGATAAAAAAACATTGATTTATTATAGTTTTGGTTTCCTCAACGAATTTTAGGATTTGTTTTCGCTTTGCATTGATTGGATAGCTCTGTAGCTAGGCCTCGTACGGACACATTGAGGGGACAAACTTCGTGGCATGTTTTCAAAACGCCTTATTGAAAAAGAACCACTGGGTGGGGAGTGGGGACCAGTCATCAAATTCATGTTTGAGATTTTTCGACTGAACGCATCTTGCATTGGCATTATCTTAAAATATGCCAGTGCCATTGTTTTATCTCAAGATGGACACCAGTAATATTTTTTTTTACTAAGGCACATTTATAAAAGCTGCTTAAATGCCCAAATTGAAGGCCTAACCCAGGCTTAATCTAAACCCTGTCTGTGAAACTAGTCCTTAGAGAGATAAATAACAACTATCAATTGTTAATTATATACTGTTACTTCAATATATTGCCACTATCGTGCATTTTGGGCACATTAGCCTAAAGATAATATGTGCAACAAAAGAGCATCACGAGTAATCTTCATAATTATCATCACTATCACCACATTAACCTTACATATTTTTGGCTAGATAGGGTTATGTTTAGATGTAGAATGTTCACTTAGGTTGATTTTGATTAGGTTGTCTTTGGGGTTGTTCTTAATTTTAAAATATTGCTTAATTTTTTTGTATTAACATTTAGTTTTAAAATATGAATGTTGCCATATATTGCCATATTATTATATTGCCATAATGTTTTATTTTACACACTTTAGCTGGTGCTATTTATGTTTAATACTTAAACCAACTTTGAAAAAAGCCATCATGAGAGAGTGAGGACAGAAAGAGTTACAACACATGTCACATATGAGACCATATGGGGGGGGGGGGGGGGGGCAACCGTTAAAGATTAAATGAAAGAGACAAATCATTCAGAAAGTAATAAGCCCTAATATGTCTGACCTGCTCTTTACTCTGTCCAAAGGCTGTGAACGATGAGATAATATGGAGTTAATTTTCAACAGAGACACTTTGAGGGGAGGGTGAAAAACAAAACAGACAGACGGCGATAAGTGGTGGTTTATCTAGCACTCAAATCCTGGTCTGGCAAGAAGAAAGAAGAAATTTGTTATGTTGTCGAATGCATGTTGGCTCAGCCAATAACTTTGTAAATATTTACTGTACAGCACGCTGCACTCTCACATGATATTAATTTGAGAGCCAAGGCAAACAGTGCAAGGCAAATAGGGGAAGGGAAAGAAAAGAATGTGTACTAAAAGAGCAAAAATTTCAAGAGATTTAGGGAGAAAAAAAGGTTTTGTTTTATGAAAGAAAACAGAATCAACTCTGATAGAAAAAAAGAGAGAAACACATTGTAGTACATTGGGTTTTACCCGTGTGCTATATTCAATAGCCTATTGTTTGTGGCTTTGGAAGAAGAAATATTATAATTTTTTGTCAAGTATACGCTTCACTCATTTCTCACGCTCATGCACTCTGGTAACCAAAGAATACATCTTGGAATATTTGAGCACTGAATCTGTTGTATACTCTCTCATTACAACAGCACAGAACCACGGGAGTCTTACTGTAAACGTCGACATTGCCCAAAAATATCCACAGCAGACCTCTGCCAAATTCCACTGAAATGACTAAGAACTTTATGTGCTTGTACAGAGTGCAAACAGAGAGCATGTCAGTAAAAAAATGTAAAACAATAAATACATGATGCATAGACTTCATATTAATATAGACAACAAAAAATGCGATGAATGTCTGTAAACAAAAAAGTCTTTATCTTTATATTTATTATTTGTATATAATATAATTTTTAAGCTACCAAATAGTAAGACGATTTTTAAAACTTTTTTTTTTTTTAGATTTTTAGGACATTTATTTGATAAAAAATCTGTCCTTTTTTATTAACAGTTATTAATACTGTGAACTGTTTTTTAAAATTGTTATATATTTCAAAATTTTAATTTATTTCTGTGATGTCAAAGTTGAATTTTCAGCATCACTACTCATTCAGTGTTGCATGATCCTTCAGAAATCAGTCTAAGATGCTGATTTGCTGCTCAAGAAACATTTCTGATTATTATCAATGTTGAAAACAGTTGAGTACAATTTTTTCCCCCCAGGATTCTTTGATGAATAGAAAGTTCAAACAAACAGCATTTATCTGAAATGGAAATCTTAACATCACACACTACCGTTCAAAATTTTGGAGTCATTAAAAAAAAATTCTTTGAAAGAATTCAATACTTTTATTCAGCAAAGATGCATTTAATTGATCAAAAGTTACAGTAAAGACATTTATAAAGCTACAAAATATTTCAGATAAATGCTGTTCTTTTAAACATTCTATTCATCTTAAAATCCAGAAAATTGTTTTCAACATAATAAGCAATAATGTAACTTGAGCAGCAAATCAGTATTAGAAACATTATTATTATTAAACAGTTGTGCTGCTTAATATTTTTGTGGAAACCAAAAATTTTCAGGACTATTTGATAATTACCAAGTTCAAAAGTATTCATTTATTTTGCATTTTGAATGGCAGTGGCAACAGGCTGTTTGCCCTCTGAATCGTGTACTTATTGGATGTATATGACATACCAGCAGGCACAAGGCATGCTAACCAGCAACCACTTAGTTTGAACATGTCCTATTAATGTTATTTAGTCTATTAACTGCAGGGTGAAATCTTTAGTCTGCTAGTCTTTGCTTTGATGGTGCTAATGTTTGCCTGACAGCAAGGAACAAAACAGCTTGCAGCCGGACTGCAGAGAATCTTGAATGATGGATTGGGCTTTGCTTTGCCAGTGGAGGATGTGGATTTTGCCAATTGTGGCAGATTGCATCCTATGATCCTCTGTGCTGAAGACAGAAGAACTCACTGTATGCAGTTTGTTATGCTTGGTTACACACGTTTCATGCGTATAGCACACAAGGACCACTGACAAAGAGAATAAACTGAATTAGAGAGGATAGGACACTGTGAATCTAGCCAAAGGTACACCACAATAAAGACAAAATACATTTCTTCTGCTGTTTTTCCCAGCATGTGCAATCCAAAAACAATTTTCCCTAATAGTCAGTGAAATTAGGCTACACTGTTTTGACAAACTAATCATCTGGAGTAGATCTCCAACAACGCATAAGCAAACTAAAAGAAAATGTAAATAGACATTCACACAAAAGGCTATTGAAATGAGCATTGCATACTCCCTAAAGACAAATGTGCAAAATATTTCCTTTAAAACAGAGAAGCAGGTTAACGGGTCACAGTCCACAGAGGGACGTGAGAAGTCTGAACACAAAGTCAGGTGTAAATAACACAGAGAGACAAACATTAACTGAATTAATCTAATCTTTCTAATCTTTATCAGATATGAGAAAATACACTCAGAGAGAGGGAGAGTTAATGAAAATAGGGATGTTAAACAAGGCCAAACTAATGAGCTATTTTGACTGAAATAAAAATTAACAGCATATTAATTATGCGTAACTTAGACCTAAGTGTTGAGATCTTATCAAGTGAAAAATATAAAACAAAAGTGCAAGTCAAAACAAAAACAATGTAATCTGCTCTGAAGGACATCCTGGAAGGCGAGGTTTACTGATCAAACATTAACTCGATCTGATGCAACTTTCCTTCTGGTCATGTTGACCCATCCACAGGCGGGGAGCTGAAGGGAACGAAGGCGGAGCCACGTCTTTAAAAGAGGGCCACTTGCAAGTTTGTAAACAACGCTGAACCGAGCGAAGAGGACAAGAAAGAAGACACGTATAAACAGCTAACTCGACATCGCATTTTTTTTCTTCTAGTTTTTCCAGAGCTAAACTTCTGTTACGTTCTGATCCAGTTTCGCTATTCACTGTCAAAATGAGTAACCACGTTGAGGTGAAAAACATTGAACCGACCACCTTTGAGGACCACTACTACGATGAATATGAATATTATAACTTAACAGACCGTTATACCGGTAGGTTGTCAACGAGCGTTATTGTTGTTGTAGCCTAGTAATCATTAGTACTCTGAAACTTTTATGAACTTTACATAAAGTAGCCTTTTTTGAGAGTCGAGTCCAGTTACGGCTTTTGGGGATCTGGCTATTTCTTAAAGCGCGTTCGTTCATGCTCGTCGACATTCTTCATAATGTTTGTTGGTTCTAAGTTTGAACTCATTCTTGTTTTCTGTTAACTAGAGTGCACTACTCGCAAGGGCAGGACGAAGAAGGAGGCGAGTTGCAACACGAACAGACCTAACCCCGGTGGACACGAGCGCAAAATAGTGGAGAAACTCCAGAACGCTGAGAAGAAATCCAAAGAGTGACGCAATAGAGGTGCGTGTGTGTAAACATCTTTCCACATTGACATTGAAAGTAATAAAAAAAAAATAAAAAAAAACGGAATCACATTGGTGTTCTAGATTCAATCGGACGGCTATAACTGGCAATCGACCACAGGTGCCTTCGGGCGCTGGCCTGCAGGAGAGACTTCATGAACCTCCGCCTCAGGATCAGATGAGCGGGAGAAGGCTGAGTGAAGCTCCCGGTCCAGTGACTCGTGAAGTGGGGAGTTTTGTTAGGCGTGCACTGCTCTTGTGTAGAATGCGGTGGGCCCTGAAGAACGAGCACCTGTTCATAGGAACCGATATGCTTGTGGTGGTGAATGTACGTTTTAAATCGGAGCTTTGACCAAGTGTAGATTTTATTCTGTTTGGTGTTTTTAAATGGTACATTTTAAAAAGTTTTTCTTTTAATAAAGACACTTTTCCATCAAACTTGAGATTTGATTTGTCTCTGACCATTCAAGTCATGATGAAAAATGCAGCTGCTATAGGCCTACCTCCAAATGAAAAGGGTACAAAATGGGCCTCAAACTCTTAAAATAAACTGTAAACAAAGTCCACAACATTTAGTGTACAACATTTATCCAATGATAAAATAGTAAAACAACAGATTTGGTAACAGTTGTAAGTGTTTTTGAAAAAATATATAGTACAATAAATGTCAATTCAGTGGATTATGTAGGATAGATTAGATAATTGGACATGTAGCTATACTTTTCTAGGTTAATATGTTAGTTTATTAGAACAACAAAAACATTTTGTGCATTTAATGTTTCGTTTCTAAAACATTATGTAATGGGATGCCAAAAGTATATCGTTTTCATAGAATGTGGGATTTAATGGGTCTATCAAAGGTAGGGTAGGCAATTTTGGAGAGGCTAGCAATAAGCTAGCTTTGAAAGCATATCTTGACACAGAAACGCTTAAATCCGAATGATGAGGATGTGAACAGCCCCGGGTACGTCACGGGTTGCCATCTCGTAATTTTGGTTATGGCATGAAAACATAAGTTTGTTGTTTTGGTTCAGGAGGAACTGTAAAAGGTGGCGCTCGGGGACTGACTGCATTAGACTAACTGACTAAACCTACTCGTCACTGTTACATTAAAGGTTCTCTAAGGGATCCTGGGTGACGTCACTTCTTGTTGACGTTCAAACTATTGTCAAACAAAACGGAGGCTAGCTAGACCCTCCCCCCTCCTCATCCGCACACTAACCCCCCAAACCCTTCTTGTCGGTCATTGGCTGGAACAGTTTGTTGTTTCGTGGAGCGGGTCGCCGTAGTTTGTTTTTGTTGCTGTTTGTGGAGCCTGGGCTGTCTACAGAGATCGCGTTTCTTTACAGTGTGTTCAGGGGACAGGCAGCCAGCGGATAGTGAGGAGATGTTTGCTGTATGTGACAAAAAATGTTTTGGCCTAAAAAACGCGTGACATCGCTTAGAGCACCTTTAACCAATGAAATTAGCTGCAGGGTGGGATTTCCACTGAACTGGTTTGGGGGGAAAATCACGCGACATTGTATCATTGCATTCGGACCGGATGCAATGATTAGATTAACATTTTTTGGCCCTGAGACTGCCACAGAATACATGTTTTAATATTTAGGTCACTTCTATTATTGATTGCTATCAGGATGTGAGGAGAGTTTCAACCAGTCTAACAAAAAGTGTTTATAAAACAAATTTCCGACCCTACCTTTAAATATTTGCACATTAAAGGTAGGGTGAGCAATGTTTTTCATTAACATTTTTTGTTATACTGTTTGAAACTCTCTTCACATCCTGAAAGTAATCAATAACAGAGGTGGTCTTAATATTAAAAAATGTACATAGGGCCTATCATCTGTGGAAGTCACAGGACTAAAAATGTTCGTCCAGTCCTTGCATTTGGGCCAAATGCAATAATAGGATGTCCTACCTGTATTTGCATACCGCCCCTGCTCACGCAGACATCACACGTCATCAGCATGTTCAATGAGGCTATGCAGAGTTGTAGACATGGGCTGCGTTTAACTCCACTTTTAGGCGTACACTCGCAAACTTCTCTGAGCACTTCCCCTCGGGGGAATCCCCGCCACCATTTTAAAGTACGTTCAACTTCGTCAAGTGGGCGAGGGTAGTTTATTTGGACAGACCCTCGCCCCCTCAATTACCCCCACCCCACACAACTCTAGTGTATATTGAAGTTATTTTGACATTTAACTGCAAAATACTTATAGCTACCTTAAGCTGACTTATTTGTTGTATTGTTATCATTTTCGTTTGTGTATTTTTTTTTATATTTACTCCAACAGCCCAAGCATACATACAGGCTTATAAAAAAACAAATGCATAAGAAAAAAAAACTGTAAAAAAAATAAATCAGCTCCATTGTGGATTTCGAGTGATCAAGGGCTTAGGGCGTTCCATTTAAACATATTGAAGTGTTCCGCCAGAAGTCCGCACTCGTGCAACATAAGCACTGATATACATCCAAGTGAACGAAACAGAGGGAAGAAGTTAGCCAGGGAAGGGGATAAAAATTGGACATAAACGCAGCCAGACAGTCACTGAAAGTCTCAAACAAACAGTAGCCCTTTTTTAGAGTTTCTCCTGAACCAAAACAATGAGCGTATTTTAGAGACGGCAACCCATGACGTTCTACTCTGAGCTGTTCCTCGAACTCGGAATTATGCGTTAATGGCAACACAATCAACGCCTAAATTAAACTGCAGCAGTCAGGTGGGACAAGTCAGAGCTCTGTAAGTTGTTTACGTTCATTATTATACTAATGTTTTGTGCTTATGAGGTAATTTAACCCCATCTCTCGTGACGCTTTGCAGACTGCTCTGACTGTGCGTGTTCATGTGTTTTGAAAGAGGAGTTTTGAAACTGATTTTGGACAGACTTCTGAGGCAGCGTAACTGTTTAATGATCTACAGCAAAATAGACAAAGCTTTGGTGAAAACTAAACAAATATTTAATTAGTACAGTAGAAATTTGTCGCTAGAAATTATATTAGAAGTGGAAACCGTTGGTCAAAAACTTAAATTTACACAAAAACTGACCAGCAACTGCAACTTTCAGATGCTATCTTTCTTTTTCTAGCTGAACTGTCACCAAATGGAACGCTTGGGTTATCAAAGGCAGTGAAGAATCCATCTATGCTGCCTTTAAAAATCTTTCAGATGAAGGTATCTCAGGAGACAGGAAGTGAAGCTATCATTGGATTCGGACATGCCTTGATGCCTTCCTGTCTTGAAATGCATCCTTCGAAGGCAGCATTTTTAAGTTTTTGGATGCACCCCTTTTGCTTTCAAAGCTAGCTTGCAATTGCTAGCCTCTCCGAAATTGCCTATTTTTAAACAAATTTAGCCTGTTTCGCATGATTGGTGTACAATAAAATAGATGCAACCCCAAACTTTTACTAATATTCTGCCATACCTTCTATTTAAGAATTTACAATAAAGTGCATATATATGAAGTGCTCCAACTGACCCAGCATAACACTAAATATTTAGCCTGTCATGTGTCTTGCCACATAGGTGAAAACGATCTGTCACTCACAGCAACATAAAATCTTCACAGAGCAATAGCTCAGCTCGAGACAGATAGAGGGCAGTAGTGAAGCAGTAAAGAGATATGAAGCTGAAAATGAGATGTGGAAATGAATTTTGCACAGAGGATTATCTAGAAGCGCCATGTATCTCATTTTAGAGCGCTTTGAAACGCATGTGCAATATAGGGAGCAGTTCAAAGCAAGTGACTGTTTTTATTAGTAGCCTTTTCAACAGAAGCGAGAAGAGGAATAATCAAATGCAATCACTACATCCGCACAACTCCTTATGCAGAGATTGTGAGATCTTTGCATGTGCTATACTTCATAACATATTTCATAAATCTTCATAATTTATGTAAAGTAAATTAAGTACAATTATGGTAACACTGAAAAGAACAATTAAATAAACCCATGCTCACGGGATGAACTGTTGTGGTTGTTTAACATTAAATCACAGGCAATTTCTTAAGCAAATCTGTTCAATAAACATGAACTGAAGAGGAAGCGAAAGGAATACAAAATAGATTTTTTTTGTTGCCTAGGGTGAGTTATTAAAGATCTATATTAGGCTAATTCAACACCTAGAGATATGCACACAGAAGAACCAAAGCATTAGATTAAAGTAGGCCACAGGAATCGGTTGATCGGTTTTTAACTCCTTTTCTTTTTCCAAACGTGCACTGTATGTTATCAGCACATGAGGGTCAAGAGTAAAGAGGTTTAGGCTAATGTGCTGGGGAAGGAAATAAAACAACCTGGTAAAAAAAAAAAAAAAAAAAAACACTGAACAACGAAATGAAGAAAAATGCACGATTATTATGCAACAAACTCAAAATGTTGGAATATCTTGTTGTGTCTCACAGCAAAATGAGACCTTTGAATAGCTGCACTGTTCAATTGGAGAGGGATGCCAATTATATTCATTATAACAACTTATATTATAACAACTGCTATACACACTGAAAGAACAAAAATTGTTTCCTCTTCACCTCCCCCTTGTACTTTGCTTGTACCGTTAACACAAGATAATCCATTTATGTCATTCTCCCACGGACACACTGCGGAAAGCGCAATCCTCTTTTTCTTCCTTTCCCATAATCACCGGAACAAACATGTACACATGGTTAGAAGATTTCATGGAAAAATCTTAATATGCAAATGAAGTTCTGATATGTGAATGCACAAATATCAGAAAGTTTCCAAAAAGCTATATTAATTCACCTGAATTACTCAATAGGCCTAGAGTTTTACTTATTAATAAATTCAGCACTAGACCTAATTTCCAAATGTCAAATGAATTAATTAAAATAAACGAACTGTATTAAAAATAGATGCAAAAGTAACAGGATATCAGTTTGTGGAGCAGTTTTAAAAATAAATTTAAAGTATTGTGTTCACCCCCTCCATTTCTCAATCCACTTCCCTCCATCGTATCAGTACGGGTAGAGAAGCTCCTCTTGTTGCTTAGCAACAAGCCTTTGGAAATTCCAAAAGAGACCACAGAGACCATAGACTACCTCTCCTCATGGTGCATGTGTGTGTTTGCGTGTATTGTGTGTGGGTGCACGGATGGGTGCAAAGTGTGTGCGTGGAGTCAGAAACTCTCCGTAAGTCAGACATGCAGGTGCGCAAGTGTGTGTTTGTGTGCTTGTTTGTGCATTTGTATGGATGTCTCTTCAGTTTGAACATCTGGAGGGCCCCTGCTGTTGCAGTAAGAAGTGTGGCAGGGACGGTGCAAGTGTCAACTGGTGTGAGAGTGTGTTGTATTCATGCATGAGACTACTAGGGTCAGCACTCACGTGCAAGTGTGTGTGTGTGTGTGTGTGTGTGCGCAAGTAGGTGTTTAGATATTCATAGCACACTTTGATATGATCCCTCTCTATCTGCACACATGGTCAGTGT